GACTGTTGAATCACCACAGCTGAGATGCATGCAGGGTCTGGCTTCGGAGTGTTGCAATCAACGTTACGTATTAGCACTTAAGCGCTCAACCGTACATTGAATCCAACTGCTACGTTGCTGGCGGGCATATTGTGAGGACGATCTTATCTCCACAAGAGGCAGCTGTGTATGTAACATCTTTCGCCGAGGAGAAGCAATGGGGCTTGTTTAAGCAAAAGACAAGCAGGGGCTGATGGAGGCAGGATATACAGAAGACCAAGTGATGGAGATTTCCACAATCTACCGCAAACAACGAAAAGTGTTGAGACTGAAGGTCTCCCGAGTACCATCAGTAAAGGAAGGTGGAGAGATGGAGTCCCAAGATAAAGTGATTTCATAAAGTGTGGCATTTGAACCTAGTGGCAAGAATTTGCTCAAGTAAAATCACCAAATGAACCGCCCAAGGGAACACGAACCATGGAGTCTTGAGAAGAAGCGAATGTCAAGTTAGAACCAGTGTTGACTTTGAATTAGGTGGAGTTTGGACATGCGAAATATTAGATGCGTAAAACTTTACGTGTATGTCAGAGAAAATTTTCGGCGTAGATGCGCACATCCCTTCATCAATAGTCCCGGACTTGGACAAACACCTTGGAAGACTCGAAACACTTTGAAACACTTTGAAACACTCCAATGCATTGGGCAAACACTTCAATACGGCTTATTAATATCATATTATAAGCCGGGTATATCATATTATAAGCCAGGTATATCATATTATAAGCCGGGTATATCATATTATAAGCCGGGTATATCATATTATAAGCCGGGTATATCATATTATAAGCCGGGTATATCATATTATAAGCCGGGTATATCATATTATAAGCCGGGTATATCATATTATCAGCGAGACCGAAAAGCTTTGGTACGTAGATTACAGACGTGCAACCATAAATCGACCTTCTCTACAGCTTCTGCTTCTCGCTGCGTGATGCAAAGGATATGCTGGTACAGGATTTTGGAGTCGATGCGAATGTGGCTTTGGATGAGTGAGCGGGGCAGAGGTATGGCACTGAACCATCGAAATCCATGCTTTTCATATAGGCTTGACAACCAACAGTATGCAGGAAAGAAGGACATCGCGTCAATGGCAATGAGGTAGGCAAGCAGCTTGTCTTGATCAGGAAATGGCAGGTTAAGTGTCCAGATCTCTTCTAGAAGCTCACTCTCTTCAGCAGTCAAGTCATCCAGCGACTCGGGCACGATATCAAAAAGAAAAACTGACTTTAAATAGCGTAGCCGAGTAAAGAAAGCTTTTCGCGCATCGCTTTTCGGTGGCAGTTGCCCTTTCCGTCCCTTCACGTCAAGCCGCAGATTGATATATCGGAGCAGCATCATCATGAAATGTTCTTGAACGTTGACCTTCAGGTTTGTCATCATACTCGCTGTCAGGTAATTGATTGACTGCTGCTCGCCTCGTAGATTTGGGTGAAAGAAGCCGACAATTTGGCAGTACCATTGAACATATGGCAACAAGCATCCGCGTATCGCCTTCTTTGCATCCATTCTTGGTTGCCAAGCCTCCCCCTTGTTGAGAAGATACAGTATGGCTTCGATTGTATCTTCATTTACTGTGGGAAAGGTTGGTGCAGATAGGATGTAGAATTTGAGAGCGTGGGAAGCATGATCAGCAAGTTGATGGATGATGGCGATGTAATCTCGAAGCCGTTGGTGATAGTTTGGCAGGAAAGCTTTTGCAAAGGAAGTCTTGTTGCAGGTATGTAAAGTGGGTTTGTCGAGTTTTTCAAGCTTTTGCTTCTTCTTTGGTGGCATGATGATATCTGTAGAAAAAGATGAAAGCCTGGGAAAATGGGCGACGACAACTTATATAGGATTTTTGGATCAAACCATAGTTCATGAGTCTAAATCGAGTAAAATTATGATTAAATTGGTTGGAATATGTACTAGTGCCAATACCCATCGGCTCCGCACTATAAATGTTCGAAGGAGAATTATGGAATGGATATTGAAAACATTTCATGATATCCTAAATCTGCATGCGACTTAATCGTTGCAAACTACTAGCTGCTTATAACTACGAACAAAGATACCTCCTTTATGCGGTATCAGGCTTTTCTTCTTCTAATTATCTCTTTCTGATTGCATAGTTAGTCTCTCTGCATCAAAAAAATATCTAGGTGCTTCTCCCACTTAGCCGCTACTGTTCCATCCTCAGCGGTATCAGCCTCTGTTACAGTAAACTGCTGTTCGCTGACGACAAATAGGAAATCTTAACAATGTTTCTGGTAGTTGTTGGATATTAGAAACAGGACGCCGACACTCGACATGCGATACGTAGAGAGGATTTACATGTCTGTGTCATTTCATAAGATAACAGTGCCGCTATGTTCTCCGTCACATACCCATCTAAAAGCATCATGGCGACAGCGATTTGGAACAGCCGCGGTTAACTCGGAGTGTGTCAGCTTACCGGCCTCCAAAATATACAGCTTCACATCTGACATATACAAATCATAAATATCCATTTGATATTAACTTACCATCCTCCATGAGAGCATTCTGCAATCGAGAAATATGTCTATTTACACTATGGTCAGATGAGATTCGCCATGGACTGACCTTGGCTGGCCTCCGGAAGAGCCTTCACAGAATGTAATAAATTATTCTATACAGTTTGTCTTTCTGCTTGAGCGAGAACTGTTTGGATTTTAGTTTCTTCAATTATGCCAACTGCACACCGATGTAAATCTCAAGAGGTAAAGAACGGTCAAGTCCAATGGAACGGACGATCAAGCCAGCGGCAGATTTAAGCATTCCAATCTATGGTTCGACGCTTCCAAAGCCTACCAAGTGTGGTTCTAGTGCTACTCCACATCGAATTCCGAAACGGCCCAAAATATTTCTCGCTGGAATTGGAGTGTTTTGGTTGGGCATATGACGATAGACCGGACGTTGGGTGGTAGAAAGACCACTAGAGAATGGCGGACCCGTTCACAGCTCTTATCGACAGGATACCCTCCGATGCGTCGGAAACCTCTCTTCAGCTCATTCTCTCCATATTGCAAGAGCATAGACTGGCAAAGGAAGCGGAGAAGGCGGCAAAAGAGGAAGAAAGAAAAGCCAAAGAACTGGAGCTGGAGATAATACGAGAGAAAAGGGCGCTAGCTTCTGATGCAAGTGGGTTGGGGAATGTGGCGACGTCAGGGCATTCAACTGGTACACATTCTATGGCCCAGCCATTGCACCTCTTGCCCATAACACCTCCCGAACCTTCTGCTCCCGTGCCGAACGTTGAGTCATGGGGAGCATCGGTCCACCTTCCCATTGACATTGGCCAATACTCCCATAGTCCAACCTCCTATGCATCGGATGTGCCATTAAATTCCATTTCTGTATCGGACACCCCGGAACTCTCACACAACAATTTTTTGGATGGTTGGGTTGGACAAATGTCTTTCACCAGAGATCTCTTCACACCAATGATGGAGGACGATCTGAACGTCCAGGATGCTGAGGGGAATTTGGTTGACGAGAACTGGGCAGACTATGCATTGGAAAATGCATCCTCGTCCTCTTCCCCGTATGCTAGCATAGGGCAGTCGTCACCATCATTGCCGTCCAGCAAGAGTGACATACCGCAAACAGCGCAAACAAATAATGGCCGAAGACGCCGCAAACGTGAGATGAAGGAGACTGATGCCACATGCCGGGATTGTTCGACCCCTGTAGCGCATTTGTATTTGCATGGGACGGAAGAACAGCTTGCTGAGCCTTATGTCGTTAATATACGGTGTACATCGTGTGCTGCACGGGAAAAAGGAGGAGCGTCGAAGCAGAGCACCTCGTCCGAGCCGCCATACAAGAAGCGAAAGGAGTCACTATTGGGACCTAGCGACAAATCTCTCGGCTGCGATGTTTGCAAAAGAAAGGCTGGAGTGGGAGGAGTACACAGTGCGATGATAAGCGCGGGATCGACGGGGGAACCCGGGTTTGCGGTGGGAGGTAGTTTGCATCGCCGTAAGTCGCTTATTTTCAACGTTTGCACATGATGGATCTTTGCTGATGTCACCTGGCCGATATCCGATTGTAGTGCCACAACAAGTATTCTCTATGCAGGTATTTTACATACAGCTACCAATCATTGGTCTCTTTTTGATTCTGATAGCATTTTGTAAATAGTGATTGCGGCGGTGGAGGAAAGTATCGAACAGGCAAATGGAGGCCAACACAACTCTTTGCCGCTAATCGTCTTACGTGCTCCTTGTCACACGAACGGTTTGGTGTGCACTCTGAAGTGCACAGCGACATACGGTTGATTTCTAACCCCGCGCATATGCCAAATTCCCGGGCGCTTTCAAAACCGCCCTCGCAAGACTTGATCTCAGCTATCCTTGCCTCCGTCGATGATATTATGTTGCATGCACATGCACAACCGAAAATTATGGAGCACATACCTAATTGTAAAACGTGGGATGAGCTCAATGGAAATATCGAGCATGTGCGAGAGGAAATGCGACAGATGGTGTATGGTGAAGATAAAGAGATGAGGCCGATCTGTCGGAGATATCTTGTCGTCAAATGGTTGCGACCAAAGCGAAGTGCGTCGGCCCATACACCTGGTGGAAGTACCTGGGAAGAAAGTAGCGGAAAGCGGACGATTTATTCCGTTATGCTGGCTGATTGGAACATGGAAACGGGCGACTTGGACAATGTACTTGCAATTGGTCACCAAACACGAAAGCGAGGGTTTGCGTGGAAAATAGTCCTTGACCAAGTGCATCACGATTTCACAAACCTTGTTCTTTCCCCGGAAGGACTCCCGCTACGCCCGTCACCGTTACGGTGGATATGGGCAAATGTTCGCAAAGTGGGCCGTAATTCTTCTGTTGCCCCTGTCACCGCCGCTGGCTTACGAGAATGGGGAATGAGACCGTTATCAGAGGTACCAGCAGCTAAGCAGGACTTTGACTACGCACAACAAATCCAGGAAACGGTCGTTGGCAAGTACTGTGATCCAAAAACTTATGAAGTGTGGGTAGGAGGGTTTGAAGAGGTGCGGACGAGTAGCGCCGCCATGAGCAGTGGTGACGAATCAGATTAGCTTCTGGCTGTATAGACTTTTGTTGGATATGGCTGACACATGCAGAGATATTGGTAGACAGCAAATGCCTCCGCAGCTTTGCTAGAAAGCGCTGCTCCACGTGACACCCAAAGGGCTTAGTCGCGCGACGCAACTGCCAGGAAACAGCACACGAAAACACCATTCAACACATTTATTTGCCCAAGAATTTGAACAGAATACTTTTTAACACACATCTAAAACTAACAATTGTTGGGTACCTCCAACGTCTATAACTCCCCACTGTTATTTCCCAAAGAACACCAAGAACCAGTCTTTTTCCGTTGAAATATTGTATATGTAGAGAATGCAGCCTGGATAGAGGAACGGTCTGCCGTAATGTGATCAAGCCATTGCTGGCCTCTGGAGCGACTTGATAGCTGTGATCTATACGCTCTTTGGTTGCTATCGCGTGTCGCTCATGCGTCCCGTTTCTTCACTCGACTTTTTTAGCTAGCCCAAACCGTGGAACGGACAGATCCCAGACGGTGTAAAATTTCTGGAGGAAAGGCGTTCCGATAACCCATGACTTGATTTTTTGATCTCCGCTCAATGCAGCGACGCAGTTTGCATTGTTCGGCCCAGCTACCGAGAAAATCTCATCGAGAAAGTCTACGCCATTCAAACCATAGTCCTTGCCTCCCAATTTGAGCGCAAAAGAATTATCTTGATTGCAGGGAACGGTAAATGTGCCGTTCGCCATTTCCGCAGAGCCAGGGATCGCCGCAAACACTTTTCGCACGTCCTCCATTGGACCAAGCAAAACCGATGTCCCCGTGTCCAGAATGCCTTTCTTAGTCCCAACATCTACTGCTTTACCCTGTGCCACAATCTGATCGATATTCAGGCCCCATTGTCCAGCAGCATTGTCGACAGGTACAAAGTCAATCTCGCCAGAGAACTTTGTAGGATCAATACCCCCTATTGTCATTGTCGCCTGTTTCTTTCCAGCAGGGATATGGAGAGCAAACGATGCTGATTTGATCACTTTTTGATCGACGAGGCTTTGAAGCAATGGTGGAGCTTTTTGTTCGGAGTGTGCTGAGAAAGCCAACCCAAGGACACCGTCAAAAGGCACGTCTTGAAACCCTTTTGGAATCTTGTCTGCCTGAGCAAATGGCTGCTGTTTGATAGGAAATCCACCAAAGATCAAGTCGTCGGTGACTCCCGTCACATCGACACGGAGGCTGCCCTCGTTATAGGCAACGACAAACTTTTTGTCAGATACCTTGCCTGTGCTGCTCTTGGAAGCAACGTAGGGCTCACTGCTCGGCAAACAATCATCATTTAACGAATTTGCGATGACGCACAATTTCACTCACTTACTATCCAACGCATGTTTTGCAATCTGGCGATGCTAGCCATAGATCTGCCGATGACGAATCAAGGGCGACTGACCGTTATAGAATGCTTTAGTACAAACTGTCACGACACATACAAGCCAGCAATGCGCTTACTTACCACCATAGGGCCGTGGAGGAGTTCCAACATCAATTCTCATCCGAAGGGCGCCGCCTTGTAGTACGGTGCTACAAAATAAGTCAGATATACAGTGCAAGACGTATTCAAACAATAAAGAGTCGTACATGTTTACATTCTTTGCAGTATTTATTCCGTCGTCACCTTTCTGTCTACGGAAAATGCTGGCGAAACCCTCCTCCTTGGAAGCAACTTGACGCGGCATCAATTTGGAAGGTAAAGTCGACCGTGTTTCGACAGACCTAGAGATATATCGGTTGGCAGCCCGAGCTGCGAAAGAGCCGGCATTTTTGAGATCACTTGTCGAGTCGACGCGATCAAGCGGAACGGTTATGATCCCTGGAACGGCTGCCGGCAGAGCGACCGATGCAGTAACCAAACTGATGATGGCAAAGAAGTGTGTGAATATCATTGAGTGCAAGTGAGACGGCGAGACATGTCAACCTTGGACTCTAGTCTTATATAAAAGACAGATATCAGACCTCGTTTCACACTACGCGTGCTTGTGATGTTAATCACTTGTTTCATGCATGTCTTCTCCATTTGCGACCACAACCAGATTTCCATTCCTAGCGCTAATATGCGAGCGTCATGTCACTAACAGCCGGGGAACTGCCAGTATTATTTACTGTTACCAGAGTGGGGATGAGTCCACAATTCATTTGGATGAAGTAATTACAGACCAGTAGTGCCACCCGCAGCAGTATGTGGTGGTCGGGTATGGTCATCCAATTTTTAGGTTTTTAGCTGTAGGTGCGCATGGTGGTTTGAGAATGAGTTTTGCTTGAACACATATCCGAGCTGGCTTTAAGTACACAACACTTGCTCCAAATGGGTGCCCACCAACGCAGGGCAATGCTAAACGAAACTGGTTTGGAACAAGTTTCTCTTGCCTTTGATAAGCGATCCAATCGTCACACTTCCCCTTTATCCATCTAGTACTCGTGCGTTTCTGGGGAAGCTATACTGGAAACTTGGCACGAACAATTTTTGCATGATACGTATGTAGATCGCCCAATAACCATCTTAAGATTGCCTCTATTGGCTACTGAACGCAAAAAATTTAATGCCATGAAGGTGATGTGCCCTGCATCAAGTGTTTGAGCGCTAGCGCTATGACTTTCATCTCTCAAGTTCATGTTAATGTAGATGCACATTGCGCTTTTCGAGCGACAAATGACTATGCATCGCGGGTGAAACCAGTGTGATGCCAAAGGACAGACGAACGTTCTGGCCGGCCCTCCTACGTTTTGTAACATCTGCTTTTCACGCCAAAAGAGTTCACCGAATCGGAAGTTGTCCTCTAATCGCTATCGTTCAGGGTCTGCGGGCCATTTTTTATCCATGCCTTTTGGCGATACTCATTCGTGGTATTGTTGGTCATCAGGGTCAGTCAGATCACCAGAAAGCTAGTATGGCGAACCCCAATGGCTCGCCAAAGCGTCGGGGCGCGGTGTGAGCATACATCTGCCGAAGCAGATGGCAAGCACGTTTCCACCAACTGCTGGAATCAGCTAGATGCAGCATCGATACTGGCTTCTGGGGCAGATTCCGGTTCACCTTGCGCGTTAGCATGACCTTTGATCATCTGCAGCAGGACGCGATGGTAGGCCGGGAATCCTTCTGCTTTCAACAAGTCCGTGTCTTCATCCGAGAATTTGGTGAGCACAAAAGCAGCCACGTCGGAATGAGATTTAGAGATTGGACGGTCAATTCCAATGCGGATACGTGGAAATTGCTGGACGAGGCGTTAGAATGAACCAAAACAGATGGGGATTTTTTCCAATCTTACATCAGTTTTTAGAGATGCAATGACAGACTTGACCCCATTATGTCCACTGGATCGGAAAGACAGAATATATGAGGATTCATCCGGGTATTCGACAAAGGATACGGATTCTAACATACTTTGCGCTTCCTCCCTTTTTAGCGGATATCGCACCCAATTTCCGTTCGAGATCATCATGCACAATGATAACATCTTTGGGTCGCACCCCATATTCTCGAACTGTATCGTCAATGATTTAGCACAGCTTAAAAGAAACAAGCTATCCGAGCTACTTCTACTCACCAGCCTTCAAGACAACACTTCCGTTGAAATTCATGTAAGTCCTCGGCTTGACGAAAACAACGTGGGTGCTCCACCCCTCCGGTACACCCGGTACCGCAGTTGCATTCAAAATAGTTTCTGATATTATGGCGTTGAGCGGTTTTGACGGTTTCCAGGCCTGTGGACCTAGAAGCTTTTTGACCGAAAAGTCGAGTGCCATCATTCCAACATTGTGTCGAGTATAGGGATGTGTGTGGTTACCCAAACCGACAATCTGGGAAGTTCAGTTTCAATACGTGGTCTCCTTTACTTTTGTCAACCAGCCAGTCCATACCACCAGGCGCTGAACGCTCTTCACCGTCATTATGGGTTTGCTAAATGCTGATCTCTAAACCTCACAACAAGTGTAAAAGAACAGTTGGCGGTTTGCTAAGCACCACAGTGCCACGACTTTATCTGCCAGCTGTAGGAATAACATTTTGCTTTCCCCCAAACAATTACCATCGTTCATTAGGAAGCATGACAGCCACTACCACTGGCGTCCCGCCTTTTGATGAAGCGGCCGCCTTCCATCTCACCACACCTCCGCACCCGACGTGGACAGAGGGCATCAACCAACCTGCCCCGCCATCCCACGGCGAGACTCTCACTTTAGATCCGTTACAGCTCGCGAAACCGTCCTGCTACAAGTTCCTCATTAGCAGCGTGGTTCCTCGCCCCATTGCCCTAGTTAGTACCCAAGATCCCGAAACAAACATTGTCAATGTGGCACCATTCTCGTATTTCAATGTTGTATGTCATGACCCTCCGACGGTTATGGTATCCATCAACTACGGACGGAACGGCAAGAAAGATACACTACGAAATATCCTTTCTTCGTCAGAGTTCGTTGTGAACACAATGTCTGAGCATTTTGTGGAATCTGCCAACCATACCACAACCAATTACCCACCTCACACTTCTGAACTTCCGGACTCGGGTCTGACGGCTGTGCCGTCCGATGTGATTCGTCCCCCTCGTATTGCCGAAAGCGCAGTGTCCTTTGAATGCAAGGTAACTCACATCAACATTCTGCACAATAAGGAGGGCAAACCGACCTCTGGCGTTGTGCTGGGTGAAATAGTCCGTATCCACGTCAAGAAAGGGGTGTACAACGAGGAAACCGGTGTTGTAGATTTGAAGGAATACAGACCTGTTTCCAGGTTGGGTGGTGTCATGTATGGAAGAGTCATAGACGGCTTTGAGTTGCCGAGGAGGGTCTTGAATTCGTAGGTAGCAAGTAGTGAGATCTGTAGTCATTGTATAAACTTGCATGCAATAGATATTCTGCTACGGTTCCGTCTGTGTATCAATTCCATGTCCTTGTCCAACTACTCATTATGCGATATCTGCTCTCCTCTTCCTGAATCTTGCAAGCGATAAGCCCTTGCCATTTTTACGGTCTCGCCCTCACAATATACATTTCTTGTTCTTTTAATCGATCGGTTAAAGTCGAAGTTTTGCCTGCCACAGTAGATTGAGTCCGTTGGGTATGAGACGGCCTGCATCTGAACAGATGTGAAGGGATTCAGCAAGCACACCGTTTGTTAATGGTTCTGTTCGAAGGCAACGGCGACGTTGGTCAAAACTCTGCTGACATCAGCCAGCGATATTTCCAGTGGGTATAAATTGATCACCGACAATCACGGCGCTAACCACCGCTTGACCAGGCCGCCATCCACATCCTGTCCCTACATCTATAACTGCAACGATGCTGCAAGAGGTTACTTCAGTGCAGGTAGGTATGTCCGGTGCATAGTTTATGCGATATTTACTTAGTATATGCCAATTGTAGTTCACTATCGGCAAGATCGACGCGGGAATGGCGATTCTCCTGTCACCGCATCACCACACCGTTGAGTTCCCAGCGCAAATTCTGCCGGTATGCTTTTCATGCTTGATAATTGTGAAAGGAAGAGAACGGTCCGTTGAGGAGGCTGGTAGTAGCCACGCGAGGGGACGACAGAAGAGGGCGGGATCTCGACAGCCACATTTACACCTTCCCCCATACGCTAATGTTTAACTAATGCTTGTCTCAGGATGGCGTGAAAACAGGCTCTATAGTCAACCTCACTATCGAACGTAACCACGAGGAGGAACGTCGACAGCACGAAGACTTCCTCGCCCTTCAGGAAGAAATCTTTTATTCATTTTCGCAACCACCTGAAGTTCCTGAAGTTTCCGTCAAGTCCGTCACTCAAACCTCGATCATCATCACCTGGAAGCCTTTAGTTCTTCACGCCGCAGACGTTCGAGGGATTGACGTGTATCGAAACGGGCAGAAACTCTCTCTCAACGTTGCAAATACCGCTACGTCTGCAAAACTATCAGGGTTAGACGTATCGCACGAGTATGAGATATGGTTAGTTATCCGAACCTCAGCTGGAGCGCTCCAAAGCAACAGGGTACACGTCAAGACACATGCAATGGAGAATTTGACTGGAATCAATGTTTCATTCGGTACGTTCTCGAATAATACGGATATCGAAGCGCTGATCGATGTGCTCGGACGAATGGGTGCGCATTACACTGATGATCTGACGACGGATAACACACATTTGGTATGCACGGTACCGAGGGGTCCAAAATATGAGAAGGCCGTAGAATGGAATATTCCAATTGTTAGTCCAGAGTTTTTGAAGGCATGCCAGGCGCAAGGCAAGATACAACCGGCTACAACGTTCTACGTAAGCAATCCAACACCAGTCAAGACGAGTCAAGACAAGTAGAGCGGTTGCTTTTGTTAGAGTTAATAGAGTTCTTGCCATGAAGGCGCTTCTCATCTTTTCTTGAGGGCCGATTACTATTCCCCGAATGTAGCTTTATGATTCCTATTTACATGTGATGGTGTTGAGAATCTGTACAGGAGCCTGGTTTCTCACCACCTAATTAACGCAAACTATCTAATCATCAAGGTACATGATCTTCCGTCTATCGCTTTCGTCCCGTTGGCTCAAGTAGCTCTTATATGCTTTGAGATCTTGCATATCTTGGTGCCGATCGGCAGCTTTCATCGCTCTAAATACATTCGTCCACAAGTCCTCGCTGAGCACAATATTCTCACTGCGCATATCGTCCACAAGAACTCGCTTCACCTCGTCCAGCATACCACTCAGAAGCAGTCCTTCAATATAGATTTTGTAATGCGACGCATTAAGTGTGACACTCTCCCGCAATACATGCCACTCCAAGCGGGCAAAGTCCATCAAACCCGATTCTTTACAAAGGCTGAGAAAGTGCCCCACAATGCGTCCGTCCAGGGCCACCTTGAGAGTTCGTAGCTGTTCCCAAATCAGAACGGCCTTCTGCGGATTTCCAGCCCGGCCGTGGGCTCTCATCATTATGGCAAAAGTTCCAGCATTCGGTTGTACGCCGTTCGCCATCATACGTTCAAAGAGAGCTTCCGCATCGTCCACTCGCCCGCGGCGAGCGTAACTGTTGAGGAGAGAACTATAGCAGGGATAGGATGCTTCCGAGGCTTGCTCAGCACGGTGCAACCATTGCAACGCTTGCGCATAGTCCAGTCGTCGGGCAAAGTAGGTTATATACAAGCCGTACACACGTTCGTCCAGGGGAATACCAGCGCCCTGTAGTTCGTCCACTAACTTATCCGCGGAAGCGACCTCATCACAATCCAGATGATGCTGAATATACGGCCTGTATATACTGTGATACCGAGTATGCACTGAAGGCAAGTTTGACATTTCAAGTTTTAACTCCTCGGCGTTCTCCCACTGACCTGCCTTGAGATAGTAGTTGACTAGCGGTGCGTAGCACATGTGGCCAGGTTGAACAATGCCATTCTCCTTCATCATGTGAAGTATTTGCCTCGCTTTTTCCGGGTTTCCTGCATTAAGGTACCCGTTGATTATGTGACCGTAAACAATTTCATTTGGTTCGTGCCCTGTCTTTGCCATTGCTCTGACCCACTCTTCTGCAGAGTCCATATCTTTCATTTTGGTATAACCGTGGATGATAGATCCGTATGTGACCACATCAAACTGGATTTGTCGGGTTTTTAGCTCCTCCAGTAAGTTCCGCGCCCGTTCTGATTCATTGTGCTTGAAATATGCAGCAAGGAGGGAAGTATACCCGACAATACTTGGGCTAACGTCATCATTCCTCTCAGTAAAGCAAATCTCTTCCGCTTTCTGGAGAAACCCCTCTTTCGCATAGAATGCGATCGTGACGTCAAGAGTATGGGAAGTTGGTTTTACCCCGAGGGATTGCATAAGAGTAATAACTTCTGTGAATTCTGTCAATTTGCGGCGTTTTCCAAACCAACGTAGCGCGTTGTTAAACGCAGGTGATAAAGCCCATCCTTCCAACGTCACTCCTTCTCTCTGCAAGGAATTAGCCAAGCTCAGAAAGCCTGCGTAATCTCCTGTTTGGGTATAGGCGAAAAGAACTCGCTTGCTGGCATCCTTATCTAGCTGGGTGCCAGTCGCTTGCATTTCCTTCCATATCTGCAGAATTATTTTCGGATCTGGAGAGTCTCCCGACTTAAGCAACACTTGCTCATGTATTCGGGTGTCGATACCAGTTTCCCGCATCCTATCAAGCACCCATCTAACCCGTACAATTTGCATGTCCCCATCAACCGGCCGTCTTTTCACCAGTGCTAGAAGTTGCTTGTAGTGGTCAGAGTCTAGGACATCCCCAATGTCATTCCACAAGACCTGGAATGCGTTCCAGACGGCCTCAAGATTTTCCGGTTCAACATCGTCAGCACGCAAAAGCTGCACCATGGCCGCTCTTAGTCCCTGTGCAACCGTTTCCAAACTGGCAGAGTTTGGCGCCGAGTGAGCACCACCAGCTTTCATTTCTTGCCAGATTGAAACTAGCGAACTGACATTCCCAGTTCTCCCCTCGACCTTGAGAAGAGCGTTGTACTCGAATGTACTCAGAGGAGCCACCATCCGCATTCGGCTGACGACTTTCCGAACGTAATTTACGTTACTGTGCCTCTGTAGTACGATGAGGAGTGCTTTATAGTCCGCGGCAGGCGTCAGCAAGGGCCGAATGACTTCCAGCTCAGTCCACAATCGATCAAACATTTGCCAGCAAGCCTCCACAATACTTGGAGTGTATTCAGGTAAATACTTGATGCGTGCTGCATTGCGAAAAACCGACTGAAGCGCTGTATCGAGGCCCTTCAAATCGGCGGCCCGTAAGGTTATGGGAGCGTTCGTCGGTTTCGGTGAGGAGTCACCAACTATATTCTTCGTATATTCCCAGATTGCAAGAAATCTAGCTGCTGCTGAAGGATCATCGGCCATTGAATGGCCGTCCACTCTTGAACCCCACAGTGCCTGAAAGACCAGAACGTCGAGTAGACTCGAAGGGTAATATCTTGCCATAGCACGGACGAGAACCGTGAGGTTCCCGACTTTGGCTTCCAATTCTAATTCTGGTCTGTTAAAGACCCCTCCTAAGAACTCTACCCAATTTACAAGAGAGATTTTTGATATCCATTTGTCAAGCTTCTCATGGTCTTTTAGAAGAGATTTGACGTCCATCCAAAGGGTATTGAATTCAGCCTGGTCCCGCGCACGGATGACTCCTTCAAGAGCCCTGAGTAGGTGCTTTGGGTGCTCTTCACTCTTAGATCTCCGGGATTTTGAGGATTTGCGTTCTTTATCCCGGGAGTTCAATATCCGTATTATTAAATTGCTGTTGTCGGGTGCGTTATCCGTCCATTTGGCAAATGAGAACACCGGTGGGTCCAAATGCCTTCGTAGGCAAGACGCCACGCCAAAAGGGCGGCGCACTGTCCAGAGTCCCGCGACATCGCCAATGAGATGGTGAAAGGGCGAGCCGGGTGAAAAGGCCACCCTGGCATGTCTGCAACAATGCATTATTTCTGTTGGAGAGATCTCAACATGCATTTTGAACAATGTCCCAGAGGTACTGCTAGTTGCCATGACAACAGTGGAATTGTCACTGCGCTTCTGTGCCACGCGATCTCGTCATCCGCCCGGTTGGTCTTCCAGCAGCGTCTTGACCTTACGAAAATAACTGTCCAGCAGCTATTATTTCCTTTGTAAATGTCAAAAGTAATTTCGGGCAACTCACGTATCGGAATCAAGAGTTTATCTAATTTAACGGCATTGAGCCAGAACGGTTCAGTTTCACCTCACACTCGCGGATATCTTCGCCAAAAACAGTCGTCTTGCGCAAAGGACAGCTCGGAGGATGCCCAGTCGGACGACGAAGCACCAGATTCGGTTGACCGAGAAGAAGACAGGTGATGGCCTACTCAAAACCTATTGATATGGACTAGAGCTGATATGGGTGCTTTGTAACACAGCGAAAGCTGCATCTTTTCTGAAGAATCCTCGTCCGACAATAGTCTATCCGAGAGTGAGGATGAGTCTGACTGCGCTCCAGACCTGACAAATGCCGATAAGGCCGCAGAAGAAGAGATAAAGACAGTTGCGACATCTATACGTAAAGTGCGCGGCCGCGGTGCTGTAGGCGGAGGAATGTACTCCGATCTTATCGTGGATCGTAACTCTCAGACTTTCAAACGAAGCCATACGCAGTCGTCCAAGAAGTTGCCTTCCTCGCAGGATCACGTTGCCAGCAGGCATGGTCGAGCAAGGGACAGGAAGGGCCGACATTCGACCACCGACCACGAAGAAGATGTGTTCCGGCGCAACCATCCTGCGAATCCACACCTGTATGATCCTCGAAGCACGGTAACGAAGCTCAACCGACCTATCGAAGGTGTCACCGAGAGCAAGATCAGTCGTAACGGTAATGGTTCCCGACCTGAAGAGGACACAACCCGGCGTAGCGTGCTTAAGCGCTCTGAGCGTGATCGCCCGCTCGATCATCGGAATGTGGAATCTGGTGTGGCCTCGCCGCATTCTTTTGAGCTATTCTCTAAAAAGGGCGAGAATGGGAAAGCGAACCAAGGAGCGTTGGGCCCGCGTCGGCCCGGTCGCCGGTCAGAAGACCCGCAAGTTAGCGTGGTGCAGGAACTAGAGAGGCTTCAGTTACGGGTAAGTCGCCGCTGGTAAAGTGGTATTCCGTAACATTCCTTGACACGATTGCCACCATTCTCGTTGATATTAGGATGAAGCCCCATATTTCTTTGATCAACTCAAACAGATGTACAAGTCAATATGCAAAATTGAAGAAACTCTCGCCAACGAAAAAAAGTCCGTGATGGTTACCCGGTCTGATTATCAGACAGAAAGTATCCGTAAGCGGACAGCAACTCGGCTGAGGTATGTCGCCAACTCGAAGTGTCTGCGCGTCGCACCACGAAGCTCACACCGTCTCTTCTGTTCCTCAATTCCAAGTCTGGGTAAGCTGTACGCTGACATCATTGGCAGTGATTATAACCTTGGAATCAAATACGATTTGGAGACACGGCTATGGCGAAACAGCGTGTATAGCTGTATAGAGAGCTTACGTGCCAATGTTACAGCCGAGAGCGGAAAATTAAGCCCGCCTGTCCATGCCGCTTGGATCGATTTTATTGTTGGGGCGCAAGTGCTTTACAGACTCTTGATTGGTAGATTGAAGCGTCACCGGACAAAGACAGAATCGTCCTCGCCAATTTGGCACCGCAGCTTGAATTGTCTTGCAGACTTAGCACGCTACAACACCTTGTATCTGTATGAGAAACCCTCTGCAGTACAAAGTGATAAGGACTGGTCTGTCACGAAGAGACTCTATAAGGAAGCCGCACTTCTGTGTCCCCATAATGGTAAGGCCTACTCGTATTCAGATTTCATTACGAACTTCTGACACCAGCTCTCGAAAGGCCTTTACTACAACCAACTTGCGATTACGTCAATGTATGAGGAGCGTCACCTAGAAGCGCTTCATTACTACCTTCGCAGTCTGACTGTGAGGTCCCCATTTGCAAACGCGCGCGATTCCCTGACATTTTTATTTGAATCCAACCGGAAATGTATCGAAATCGCGGACGGTCGGCCTACTGCCGCTGTGAATAGCGTGAAAACTCTCTCCAGGTCACGCAAGACTTCAGATAACATTTGTATCTCCGGGGACAGAAAGCCGATTGCGATTATGCTCAACCTCTTTGTGAGATTACACGAGATCTTTTATAGTAAGATAAGGTATGTTACTTGCATGTTGTAGACACGCTATGGAACTCTGCGATAATATGCTGATGATGCGCTAGCACGGAGCGGTTCACTGAATATTTCGCTATGTTTGCGGCACATTTGAACAACGTATCATCAATGTTGCGTATACCTTCAGACGAAAACTTCAGTGTGTGGTTTCGACTTGCGGCCGTAAATGCTTCAATGTCGTACCTCTCCAAGATCAATCCTGCGATGGAAAAAGACGGGGGTCTGGACCAAATCCGAGAGAATTTAATTTCAACAAGCATTCATATTCTGGATGTGGCTGTGAAGGAGGAAATTAATGCCCTGCACACTGAATATGACAATGCGGAGCTCCGTCAAGAAGTTCCCGTGACAGCAGGTCTCCTATACATTGAGGTGACAATCCTTTGGTTGATCAACACAGCATCGGTATGGGTACCGTACATCACTGTACAGGTGAGTCGCCAGCACACGCTTGCCCCGATAACTTTGGCTAATTGTTCTTTTTCGCTTGAGCAGAAGTATAGCAGATTCTGGTCCTCTATGGCGATTCTCTGCAATAGTCTTGCAAGGGCCTTGAACGAAGAAGTCAGGAACCCGTTATCCGTATCAGAGATAATAAGCTCTCGGCTTTTGCCAGAGGACTGGTCAGTATTTGGAACTGTTCACCACTAGTGCTGCTTCCTCATATTTGCATAGGGAGTTGCGAGGATCGCTACCATTCAAGGAGAGCCATAACAAGATACCGGGGTTTGACGCTGTTATGACCCAAGGCGCGGTCGAAATAGACCGCTTTGTTGCTGAGCACGTTGATGTCGCGGGAAACGTTCAGTTCCAACAAGCAGGCCAGCAGCACGCCAGTGTGCGCTCACTTCGGATCCTTGTGTTGGCCCGAATTCTTGCTGAGGTGATATTGAATCACATACATATATATATTCAAGTGCGGTTTGTACTTATCCTAAGTTTTATTTTCCAGAAAGTTCCGGTGTTCTACTATGACCCAGAACAGAAGAGCTTCTCCTACAGAAAACAGACACTTGATATGGTCGAATCGGTGGCCCCAGAATTAGCAAAGGTTTGATAGTTTGCTGAAACATTTTCTGAATTCATGTCGCTCAAGGGCACTGCTTTAGTCGGACGACAATGTCCAGGAAGAGGAGGAGGAGGAGGAGGTTGACTATGAACCGTATCCTTTCGAGACGCAAAATGGCGTAGAATCGGACGCCGTGGAAGTTGATCACACAGTGCAGCATCTAAAGGTCTGCATATCGTGGCCTACCCATCTGGAGAGTAATATGCACATTCTGATGCCTATTCCTTGTTGCAGGCGCTTCGTCAAAAGCTTCATGGCACGCTCACTTCACAACAGCGCACGATGGCACCTACTCAACTGCGTGACAAGAGAACGACTTCTGTCAGAGTCGTCCCCGGAGAGACAGTCATTGTGTTTGACACAAATATATTCCTGCATCGTTTGCAAGAAGTAAAACACGTTATTGAGTCCGGTGACTGGATAGTGAGCATCCCGTTAGTCGGTAAGTAGACCATGTCTACCAGTGGCTACTGAGTATAGTGCTAATAACCGTCACTGTGGCTGGACGCAGTGGTTACGGAGCTTGACGGATTGAAAATCAGCGATGATGAAAAGGGACTCCAAGCTCTACATGCTGTCCAGTACTTGGAAGAGGAATTTGGAGATGGCACGAGTTCTACCGGTGGTCGGCGACGGAAGCCTTGGCTAAAGTTGCAAACTAGTCAAGGGAATTTCCTTTTTGATCTTAGAGTTCGCACAGAAAACTGGGCAACTCGGAGCACAGCAGATGAGAGAAGAAAGAACAACGATGATGTGATCTTGAAGTGCTGTCAATATCACAAGGACAATCAAAAGGATGGAACTGCGAGTCCCGTTGTTTTGGTTACGGACGACGTGAATATGAAGCTTAAAGCTCGTACCATGGGCATCGAGGTGGTTGATAAGGTACCTCGGACACCTCGCACTGGAAAGACGTCAGTGGAGCACAAGGGCCGAAAAAGCTAGGACAACGTGTGATCCTTCTGGAGCTTTTCAAAGACTACCCCTCCTTACGACGAATGCACGCCGAGGCTACCCTGACGGAATCACGTCAAAGCTTGCGTCAACGTCCAAAAAATGGGCACCACCGTTTCTCGCGGAGAGTTGCCCATAGCTTACCGGTGATCACCTTCGTAGCCTCGACTTCAAATCACTGCCAGCCTTCCCTATGGCTATTTGTTACTGTGCACGCGACCTGAGAGAGTTCGGTCGAACTTTTTTGACCTCAATTTAGTGCAATGAATAAAAAGTGTGTTAAACGTGAAATGTTAAGCGGTCTTTTCGCCAGCGATAAGCAATAAATATTCCACAGAGCTGAAAATGGGGATAACTCGAAGTACCGATGAAGAGATCTTACGCAATCATGCGCCTAAGCCACCATACCAGGATCGTAATGCCGACGTGTCAACGTCTTTTGACTTGACCTAGTCAGCGATGAGCATGCTTTTGAAAGTAAGACCTAGACAGATTATTTGTGCGGCCTTGCAATATGGATGTACGATAGCACCACGTTATTGTGGGCGGTCGTTAGCCAGAACCTCTCTGTGCCAGGCAGTGCAACCTATGAGCACTCTCACAGCACTTCCGGCTGAGGCACAATTCGACAAGGTCCCATGCAGCTTTCCAATGCCCCAACAACTCTTGGCCGAATATCAGTTGGGGAGATTTTTAGGAGCAGGCGCCTTTACAGAAGTCTACGAAGCAACAAATAAGATGTCTGGGAGGCAGGTGCGTCGCCACAATCTGAACAATGGTGGAACCTGGTCAGCTAACTGAACCCTTTTGTAGTATGCAATTAAGTTTTTACCCAAAGACGACTTTGATCCCATTCTCCAGTATTCGTTTGAATCAGAAACCGCTCCCCATCTGTCGCATCCGCATATTGTTCGGTATTTTTCATCGTTCGATGTACCTCCAGGTGGGACACCGCCAGCGTTGGCTATTGTCATGGAACTATTTGGGCATCGACTACGTACATATATGGACACCTTTGGACGGCCGACACTTGAAACTGCGCTGCAATGGACGCGACAGCTGGCTAGCGCTTTAATCTATCTTCATGCCCGAGGCATAAGACACGGCGACGTCCGACCGTCAAATGTCCATGTTGATGGCTCAATTGCCAAGCTGGTAGACCTGGGAATGGCGAGACATGTGGGGGGAGAGGGGGAAGATTCACTTGATGTGCTCGGTGAGGATGTGAGGGGATTGGCCCGAGTTTTTATCGAAATGCTGGTAGGTCGAGTGGCAAAAGATGGCGAATTTGACACGAGCCACATTGAGGGTCTGAGATTACTGGATAAGCAGGGAACAAAGATTCCAGCTGGTGCGTAAACTTGCAAGTTAAATATTGAGCTGTTTTATTTAGGTTTTCGTTTAACCGGCCTCCACTCCTGTCCAGATTTGAGAAAGGCTCTGCATTCTATCTTCGACAGCACACCGCCAACAGCTACTCAGTTTAGGGCTATGCTATTGTAAGTTGCATTGACAAGAGTATACCGGAGGGATGTATCTAGGTAGACTATAAAATATAGCCATGACATGCATACAACACATGGCGTCCCACGCTACCAGCCACACAAGGCAGGGTCGCCCTTTTATGTTAATGGACGTATGCTCGTGACAAACCATAGACATCCTCCATTAATTGTCTCCATTGCAACTCGCCGCCATATAAACAAGTGAAGATTTGTGTAATGAATGATGGCAGTGACATGTCCACGTCTTGTGGTAGAAACATAACGGTGATATCGCCGATCACTACCAGTACCATAATTGCAGGCCATTTGAAATTCTAAGGTTGGCTGTTCTAACATGGTAGGATAGCAAGGAACTCTGCCTGCTTAAGCCTGGACAAACTGATAGGGATAATGGTATAGAACCAAGAACGAGTTTTGGGCTTCGAGTAACTGCTGCGGGTTCTTGACGCGATCCCATACGCGTACCTAAGCCCCATTCGGTAAGGCAGACCAACGAGTATCACTGTTGAATATCTTCTTTGATGAATCCTCCCCGGACAGATACACTAATGACACCTGCTACATCCTCGCTGCAAGCAACCTTGTGATTGTTTGCCCAGGAATGTTTCAGTCGCCATTATCTGAAGAAAGGAGTCAATCTCATAATCAGCAGCAAGCAACCGCAAGAAACTTTGGCACAATATACCGTACTTCGTCACTAGAACCTGCTACGGCTTCGGAAGGCGACCGTAGTAATCGTAGCAGTACCGCGTCGGCAACCAAGAACCAAGAAGAGTCGAGAACCAGTGTTGCGGCGTCCGGCAACTCTACCATCGTCAACTCCTCTCAACTTGGCAGTGTACGCTCTTCAGTACAGGGAGAAATAACATCACAAGGACGCAGTCAATCGTCGACTACAGGCTCTGACTATCGGTCTTCGGCCTACGACGGTAGTGACGGTCATCTGGAGGTCCGACGTGCACTCTCCGCTAACTTCGTACCTGTTCGAAATCCAAGCGCGGTTACCCATCGATCATTTTCCAGACTACCCAAGAACTGCAATACGGTCTATCCAGTAGATTCATTCGACCAATCAAAGGGTTCTATTCTGCCAATCGCCAAACTGACAAACGAGATGCCACCTGTTACTAAATCAACCGGCGAGGAGACTGCTACATCAAAATCAAGCAATGGAACGAGAGCGGGCTCTCTCATTATCAAATCTGCTGTTATTGGGAATGTATCCACTCCTCGTCAACTCCCACCTAGTCATCCTCGAGGTCGATCACTCCTCGCCGCCGGCTCGAGTGCCGTGAACATATGGCGTTACTCAATACGCGAAACCTCTCGTCAGAAATCGCAATTTTGTATAGGGTGCACGTCTGTTTGTCTCGTAGTCTTTGCTACAGCGGTGCTTATGAGCGTCATGACAATCATGCCCGTCGTGTTTTTAACTATTGCCGAACGAACAGCGGGAGAAACAGACTTGACAACTTGGACTCGATGGGGTTCCGGATACACCCGGCTCAACTACACTCTTGCACGAACATTGCTGACTGACAAGAGCACACTGTCGTATCATACACCGCGGGTCACTGATCAACACCTGTCTTTCTACAAGGCAAAAAATTGCCAAGAATGGAACTCCCAGAACCCGACCGAGAATGGTTTCACCTACGTGGGCCCACCCCTGCAACCATTAGATAGTCCCGCTGTGGCAGCAACTAAACAAAGCACTCAAAACAGTTGCAATGCCGATCCCAATAACTGCGTTACGAGGATGTGTTCGGGTTCGGTTTCTGTGAGCACTTGGATCATCGATTCTGAACGCGAACAACGGTTTGGAATAGGAAGAGCGTGGAAACTAGGGCCAGTTCCTAAGGATTCAGTATACCTCGGCGCACTCCTTGCAAATTCTCTGAGGGTATCAGAGGGTGACTGGGTTATAATGAGCTACGACAGTAGCGTGTTTGACTCCGTCTATAAACAAACTAAGGCAGCTTCGATAACTGACCCGACGTTTGCCGACGCCACAATAGTGAATATACCATTGAAAGTGGCTGCTGTCTTTGACGAAACTGAAACGAATAAGTTTCCGCAATGGGTGAGGACTGAATTTATAGCTGTTCTCGAATATGGGACGATATTAGAGAGCGTGGCACCTTACTATCATCCTCGGTATCCAAGCTCCTTCCGACAAGCATTGACAGAAGCGTCGAAAAACGGTGCACAGTACGGAGAAGCGGGCTCAATCGTATTTGCCTGTGATCAACCACGACATCGGTGTTATCTTGATAGCAACTTTGGCAGAGTGGCCAACGAAATGATCAAATGGGCGTCAAATATTAAATATCGGCTTGGAATTAATCTTTTAGAAGCTAGCCTTGACACACTAGACTCTCTGGAAGGCGTCAGCAAGTTTTCTCAGTTCCTATCTCTAATCTCGTCAATTGTGGTGGCATTGTTTGTTGGATTATCTTGTTTCTTGATATACAACCTGTTGATGGTTTCGGTTGAAACAAGAACGTTTGAGCTGGGGATTTTGAGAATGGTCGGACAAACTCGAAAGGGTATTATTGAAATGCTCCTGGTTAGTGGACCACAGCTTGCATCATCCGAGAAGGTGTATATCTCGTTGCTCACTAATCCCGTCAGGTCCAAGCAGCGACGTACTCCGTTCCCGCTTGGGCAATCGGCCTGATGCTCGCTCAACTGTTGTTTGGATTAGGAAAGCGATTTTTGGAGAAGATTGCTACCGTTCAAATCGCTCCATGGCTAAGCCCTCCATCCATAGCTTTGGCCACAGTCTTAGGAATCGCAGTTCCTATCATCGCAGCGATTCTTCCAATTCGACAAGCCCTTTCAGGAAATCTTCGAGATTCCCTTGATAAAAGACATAGTAGAGTGAAACCGGTGATCATTTCGATTGAACGTAGCGGGCCGGGGTCCTTGAAAGACGTCTTCCCGTTGGCTTTTACTGGAGCATTGCTTGCAGGCCTCGGGTTTTGCATTTATTATCTAGTTCCGAAAGCTCTCATCGATAACAATCTCGAGATGCTATTCAACATCTTTATCGCGTTGCTTCTCGGAATGTTGTTTGGCTTGGTCATGTTGAGCTTCAACATCCAACCCCTTGCTGAGAAGTTGCTACTTACATTAATGCTGATGATTGCATTCTTTGAAAATGCTGCAATTCATTCTTTAGTTGCACAAAATCTGATTGCTCATCGTATGCGGAATCGAAAAACTGCGACGATGTTCTCTTTCTCGATCGCCTTTATCATCTTCTTGTCTGTCAATCTTGGTGTCGAGCTACATGCCATGGAATTCAAGTAATTGTGATGCCTATGTTTCGTCGGACATGATGGGCTCAAAACTGATTATCGACAAACTTACAGTCAGATGATACGGATAGGTGGTCAGCTGCGATTATCGACCAGTGCGGACGGTGGAATACCGTCGAACATTGTGGCTCAGGTCGATACCCTTCTGAATCAGTCAAAGCCGTTCGTGATTGATTGGGCTGTCACATCGACTCCAATACGAAGCTTTGTATCTACCGTGGAAGATACTGAAGTTGCGAATCTAGGTCGAATAGTTTCTTACGAGATTGATGTCGAGGCAGTATCGCCCAATTGGCTCAACATACCACAACCAGACAATGCTCTTTTGATTGTGCATGAAGCGGACCCTGTTCTATTAACGGAATACAAGTCGATCTCCGAGCAGATGTACACGGCCAAAGGGCATCGCTCGGCAGCGATAAGTACAATACTGCACAAGGACTTGGCAATTCAGTCGCTCGATGGCGGCCGAACGAATTTTAGCGATCCTTTTCTCCTGAAAACGACAGTGACCGGTGGAGGCAATAGGGTCGTAGAATATAGTATTCTTCAACCACTTGCATTCCTAGATTCCGCACCCTACGCATCCATGACAAAATTCCCAGCCATTGGACGGACAACCGCCCTTGTTTCGTTCCCGACGCTGGTCGATCTGTCTAACGGCCGAATTACATCCGTTGAGGAGGTACCAATTCGCAGCATACATATTGCTCTAGACACTAACGCCGCGAATTACGACTCGAAGCTTCGAAATTTGGCTGATGCATTGACAAATATAGTGCGAACGAGCACTGTAACTCTAAAGACTCTTGCAAAAGAACTCGCTGACATTCGTTCTTCGCGGGCACTTTTAAGCACCATATTTAATATTGCGACGCTGTTGGTTATGCTTATTACGTTATTCAGTCTCAACGGGTGCATGTATACGAACATAACAGAGCAGGGGAAGGAACTCGGAGTGATCCGCGCTCTGGGCCTTACGAAATGGGGAATATTTCGATTATATACTTATGAAGCCTTTGTCCTCACCTGCACATCTGGAATCCTTGGAGTGAGTGACAACGCATTTACCCTTGCCTCTAAGGAAGATAACTGACAAAAGTTATCCAGACGTTGATAGGTGCTGCAATTGGATGGTCTATGGCCGCCCAGCGTGCCATCATGACCCAAGTCCCTATCGCTTTTCCATTTCCATGGGATATCACAGGAGTCATCATTGGTGCCTCCCTTCTCTCTGCCTTGGCTTCAACGACGAGTCCGGTATACAGCTTGGTCGCCAAAAAGAAAATAGTGGCGGTTTTACGTGAATGACAGCCGATATGCATGAACAATTTTAAATATTACAATTATAATTACATTCTTATACTTAGATCTATCTCTGCAACCCACACAGTCCTTTGATCTGACATCCATACTTCTTCTTCACCATTTCGTTGACATGTGTTGTTAACATCTCAGCTACCTTGGACCATTCGGCATTTCCTTTTCCTTTACTGTTGATTACCGAATTTTCAACCCCCACTCTGCATAAAAACCACTTTAATAGGGTTTCTAATCTTTCGAGTTCCATCTCATCGACAAGACTTTCCAAGTAGCGTAAGAAGGCGTTCACATCATCATCTGTGGGCGGCAACCGAGTGCTCACCCAATCTTCCAGCATACAGCGAACAGATCCAAAATCTGACTGCCCGCCAAGACTGGGAGATGGACGTGGGACAGGAGTGGCCTTGCATGTGATGGATTGACGCCTAGATTGAAATTGCACTTGTCCTTTGCTTGGGGAAATCTTGCCAAGGATTTTTCCTCGCCTAGGTGCATTACGCATCCCAAATATACTTCTTCCGGCCGCACCGCGTCTCATGCCTATAGCTTTTTCCAAATCTTTTCGTATCTCATCAGGAAGAGCTTTCATCACCTCTGGATCCACTTGAGAAGCAGTTGGCAGCAGACACGATGGGTCATATGGTTGACCCTCACTGGGCTTACTGGTTGAAGTGGAGGAAGAACATCCTGCCCTGGCATTGATTTGTAAAGGACGATCGTGAGATTCTCGCGCCTTAAGGTATGGTAGAAGATCAGCTTGAATCTCCTCAGGCAGCTCTTTGAGAACGTCCAAGTCAATCTCCTCCGGATTAATACCGTATTCAGACAGCGTGGTTTTATGCTCGCCGAGAGTTTTCCTGTTGTCATCCGATTTGGGCGGAGGGGGATTATTCCGCTCCTGGGCATCGGTAGCGGCGCCCTCAAAGTTTAAGAAAGACTGTTCACGTACCGGATGACCCGGGAAAGGAAGGGAATCGCTGCATAGTTTTGATACGTGAATACCAACACCGCGAATGTCAGTTGGTTCAATCTGTAGTTCACAGAGCAAACGATAGCTTTCTCGAAAAATTGTCTCCCAGCTATTAATGCAATTTGACGCATTCCATGACTTTGATAGGTTATCTGTCATGTTCCAGCTCATTAAACGACTCTGGTTACATTAAGACTTAATATACTTACCACAATCCCCACAGCCCAGAAATTTCTGCGGTTCTCCCTTATATCTCTTCTTTTTCGCTTTTACCGTCAACAATTTCCCACCTACTGACGCCAATTTCATTCGCTTGTTTATTTCCTGACTCAATTCGCGGATAAAGTGCTCGACTTGGTCTTGAGTTGTGAATCTGATGCCCCAATTCACCTCAGCACCCACACTTTGCCTTGGGTTGTTTTCAAGCGGTCTCATATCGATGCCACGGCAAGCTGAATGAGATGTCAACGATTAAAAGCGCTAGATTTAGCTAGCCGTCGTGGTAATAGTCCAGACTTTACCGTTATAGAGCATTGAACCGGTCTTCGGCCCAAAGTCGGCTTGAAGTCGAGGGAGAGATAATACAGCAAGGTCTTTACAAGTTTTGATGTTCCTCTTAGCAGCCTTGTCCGCCAGAACCCATCCCACACCTGGCAGCTCCCTCACAAGTTGTCCTTCCATAAATTGAAGGGCTTCTTCTTGCTTTACTTGGAACACGCCATTTGGCTTCGCACGTGTTGTAGCCATTCTTGCAAGTAGCTTATTCGGACCGATACCTATGCTAACAAGTACCAGAAGTTGGCAGCGTGAGAGACGTACCGATGATACAACCCACAGTGATCGCTGACCTTGCTGCACAGCCTCCCGTCACCTCAAAAATCTCACCGCGAAGCTTTTCAGCCAGTTGAATTTCTTGCCCGCTTTCTTTGATGAGCGAGGTAATATCCACATAGGCTTCATCGCAAGATACAGCTTCTACCTCGTCTCCTTGACGGAGTAAGACATTGTATAGCGCTTTCGTGCAAGCTTCGTACTTTTCGAATTCATAGGGCAACACATGAAGGTCTTTACAGATTTCACGAGCCCGCCCTAGAGACATTCCGTTTCTTAGACCATGTGAGCGCGCTACATAATTACAGGAGGCTACGTCAGCTGTCGATCGCCCGGCGAGTCCAACCGAGTGAGCGACAACGACAGGTAAAGATTGCAGATGCGGACGGTCTCTCAGGGCAACTGAGGCAAAGTAACAGTCCATATCAACGTGTATGATGACGCGTTTTGAGTGTGCTGTTGCATTCGTCCTTCGACGTGGTCCCTGTCGATATACGAAATCTCGAAGCTCCCCCTTCCATGTACTGAGGTGATGCAATCGAGAAGACGCGAAGAATTTCTGGAGAAATCCTGGGGCTGTGCAAATGTTTGCCTTTACCCACTCACTCTCCGGATCTGCCCCCTGTCGGGTCCTCACATCTTCTGATTCGGACACATCGCTTTCAACTTCTCCTTCACCTTCATCTGCTATAGCCTCTTCCCCAATATCTACATGTTCGATCTGCGGCTTCTCCGACGCTGTGCCCATTTTTTGCTTCTCCGAACTGCCTTTTGTTGATGTAATCAGCTCATCCTCTCCTCCATGTGTACTTGTGGATGACGGCTGATCCCTGGACTGACTTGTCCCTCCACTGAAGAAGCCACCCAAAGTCTGCTGGCTTGGAGCTATATCCGTATAAAGGCGGTACGTAAGCCATGGCAAGAGATTCTGACGCTTGATGCTGTCGAGAAGCCATTCTGGCTTCACCACAGGCTTCCGCAAATTTCTCATTTTTTGATCGGTCATCTACCAATTATATAAGATGATAATAAGTAAATAGAATGTCAACCCCATGATAATCTGACGCATACCTGTGTTGCAATAATATGTGTGACATCGGGTTCAAGCTTATCACGAACCAATGCGCCATGAACAAGAACCTGACCATATGTGTAAATAATGCAGCATCACACACTGTCTTCCGTCCAGTATGCACACTACCAGTTCTTTGAATTGAATCATTGTCAGATCGCTGGATCCAGTGTATCCTGTAGCGTAGGACGAAAAACGTCCTAATGTTTAGATGGCTGCTATTTTGTTATCAACGAGGCACACTCACCGTTAAAGTATAATGTTAGTCCAGTTAGGACAGAAGATTGAGACCCTGTTGCAGCAATCTCCTGTCCTTGGACCTCGAGCTTACGCCGCTTAACGGCCATATACTCCCTGAAGCCCCCCGGGAAGGCCATAGTTGGCGGTGCGATCCCAGCGCGATCACATTGGACGACGAATTGCTTACAGCCAGATTGTGATTTGGAAAGTCGGACACGTGACTGACGAACCACCCTCCGTAAATTTTCCGGCAATAGCCAGAGCATGAAAATGTAAAAGAACAATTTGGTGATGCGGATACGAGGTCACTCGAAACGTCTTTTAATGAGTAGCAAGTCTACTGTAGCTGTGCAAAAATCCTGTTACTTTCAGCTGACATCCTTTAGAAAACCCATTGTGAATCTGCCTTTCTATTGTCAAGGAATTACCTCACGTTGGTGAGCTCCGATAGGAACCTTGCTCGTCCTTGAGCCAAATAGGTCGTGTCCGCCAGCTTTGGTATCCTCTAACTCTAGGTTAACGTTAACTTTGCCTCAGCAGATTGAGAGGTATATCTCCCGCGCGGGCGTACCACATAAAATTCCCAAAAGATCACCGAGGAGAAGATGCGGACAGAGTCACCCTTGTAATCTTATCGTTTTGCAGTTGCGCATCTTTCACCATCCACTGGCTTTTCAGAATGTATTCTTAAGAATAGTCCATCTGTAATGGGAGACATTTGATGAAGTCACATAAGCTTATGGCTTGCACATGTGACAGGGCGCTACAACTGGATAATCCTTTTGCCGCCGATCAGCTCACACCGTCTTCCGTTCCTCCGTTTCTCCATCCTTCAACAATCTCCAACAGCAGCAGCAGGAGCATCTACGCAAGGTACATGATATATCCTCATAGTGTACTGCCTTAAACAGTCTTGCTGATTGCATTAACTAAACAAAAGCGCGTTCATATTGGACAGTATGAGTATATCAACCAAACTCGACCCGTTGAAGCCGGAAAGTTTCAACCACAAGTACGCTTGGATCAACGGCATACGATATCGTAGGTCCATTTTACATCGTGCAATCAATATTAGCGAATTCTCACACGCGGTGGCTTTTCACTACGAAGACTATGTGGACGAAGGTCAGGGACCGTTAGTGGTCCTGTGCCATGGATTTCCCGACGTAGGTTATGTAGCGCGAGGTTAAACTCCATACATTGCCGTACTCACGTTCTTTTTGGGCTTCTCGTGAAAGATGTGGTATGGTAAGTGCCTTGGATTTATGCACTTACCTACCGACTCCCAGTTTCTCATGTCGCGTTACCCAGGCTGGCGATACCAGATTCCGTATCTTGTGGCCAGGAACTACCGAGTCATTGTTCCTGACTTTCGGGGTTATGGGGAGACAGATGCACCTTATGTGAAGCCGGGTGACGTTGACGGCCTGAAAGCATACGGCCTGAAAAATATCTGTAAAGATCTGGCTGAACTCCTGGATCATGTCGGTGGCAAAGGGACCTCGGCGATCTTCATTGGCCACGACTGGTAAGCGTCTAGAGGAAGCGCGTGCATTGCATGAGCAATGAATTGATGATGGTACCATTTGATAGGGGAGGCATGACCGTACGTATGACGGATGCATGCCATTTGGCCAGCTTTAACTGATCTTGGGTGATCGTGATTCAAGGTCTGGCGGATGTGCCTGCACTATCCGGAACGGGTCAAAGCAGTAGCTGCCATTTGTACCGCATTTTCTCCTCCAAACACTCAGTACATTGCCCTAGAGCAGCTTGTCAAAACTTGGCCCCAATTCCAGTACCAGGTGGGCGACCTTTGTTTTTCTTGGTGGAAACACAACATGGCACATAGCCTTTCTGATACCGGGGTCCTTTGGCATCATAGATTTGGTTTACAGATCCCGCGACGGATGAAGAGCTCGATAATAACGTGAGCACCTTTTTGCGGAACATATACCGTGGTGTTGGCGAGGATACAGCGCTGGTACACCAGTGCTCCCTCAACGAACTGCCCAGGAATCTTCCGCTAAGCTCAAAGCTAGCGCTGTCAGAGCAGGTAAATTAGATTCTTATTACGACAACGGTGCCAAATTCAACAATGTAACCTTTCAAAGGAATTTGAATATTACTGTCGACAATTTGCCCGTCGGTCGTTTCATGGTGGATTGAACTATTACCGTACTCGCCGAGTGAACTTCGACGACGAACGAGACTGTCCTCGGGAGGTTTCCCATCAAGCATTAATGGTGCAGTCAGCAGCAATTATCCCGCATCTCGAGGTTCGTCTCTAACAATGTTAGTAGATTGTTGCCACCGCAGACCCTGCTCTGCCTGTGAGCATGGCTCGCAAAATGAATAAATATGTTAAGAATATGGAATTGAAGGTATTGTCACTTTTTGGCCTTCACATGCCGGTACCTTTTTTTAACCGATTGCATCCAATATTATTGCAGACGATAGAGGCGGCTCATTGGGTGCAAATGGAAAGAACGGCTGAGCTTAATGAGATGCTTGCAGAGTGGCTGAGCAAGCTCAGCGAGACGAAAGCAAAGTTGTAAGTACGCACATTAGGTAGGCGGATTAGTGTATGTAGACATAGTACCACCAAACGAAGATATAAACCAGCATCAGCTGCTTGGCATTCACCCATAAAGGGCAAAGACCAACCATCGCTAAGGACACAATCAATGTCATACTTAACTCAGTAGAAAATGTCAATATCGTGTTGAATTTGCACAAATGGGCGAAGATAGTCTGACTTGTGGGCGTGTTAGCTTGGCTAAAGCAAGTTTCAGTTTGTGCCTGCGAAGGTTCAGTCATGAGAATTTGGATACAACTTTAATTGCCCTTCGTAATCCACAAAGCACCAAGACCCATTTCACCACGTCAAAATTAGCGTAAGAACGTGCTTGAGTTACCCAGAGATAGCTGAGCTATTTATGTAACAGAAGCTTCAGGCGAAGCCTGTCGGTTAACAATTAATCAAGTAGTCCCAGTAAAGAAATACATCCTAGCGGTTCGCTAATACTATCATTGCATATCATCACAATACAAAAAAACAACATATCAGATACAGGGGAGTAGCCTAAGAAGTGGGATGCCTGAGGAGCGCTTCGTTGGTCACCTGTAGTTCGTCCATCTCAGGGCTCACTTCCGCTAAGGCTTCATAAGCCTCCTGTGAGAAATTTTAATCAGTACGTCTCAGGAGCAAAGACAGATCCGAAGGTCCGGCGCATGTTTAAACGTGGCATTAAACGTACCTTAAAGTATGCTAGCTGAGCAGCTACCAAATCTGCCAAATTCTTAAGTGGCTCGGGGTTCTCAACAACTGCATTCATTTTCCCCATCGCGTCATCAACTGCCGCCACGAAGTCTTCTTCTGCTGCCTCCATTTCTGTTCGAACAACATCCACGTTCTCTGGTTTTGCAGCCTTCAAACGTGCGCGACATGCGTCATATGCAAGACGAACGGACTGAACATTCTTGCGCGCTTTCTACAACAAGCGAGGCAAATGGATATTTTAGCAGATTGCACCTGCACCAGAGCATATAGAGAAGCAGCTGTCGTCCACTCACCATTGCATTCGCAATTGTTGTGGTCAACATCGCATTGAATGGTTGATAAAACTTGGCGGTTGCATCGGCATCCTAATTACCCGGCGTCAGATATGACCATGATGTGACGATCTATCACACAAATTCGATACTTACAAGTTTAAGCCGGGCATTTCCAACCTTCTCTTCTACGGCGGCAAATTTCTTCAATGCAGCGCCTTACGCATATTGCGGATGAGTCATTTGCGCACATACAAGAACAAGGCCATAACATACCAATTGGTTCTTGGGTGCCCAACTCCTCCGCCGAGTGGAGAGAGGCGCGGGCAAAAGCGTGGGCCAAGCTAGGTGGTATTTCATCCCGATTTGTGCGCCCTCCAGAAAGGGGGGGCGCTTGAACACCTGCTGCTCTAGCACCAGCGGCAGCCAAGGAGGTGGCCCGATCACCGACCGACGTAGCAAAGTCAAAAACAGTGTCCTTGAGCGGAGGTTCGTAATCGTAGTGCGGAAGCGTATAGTTGCGCGAAATCTTGACCAGGTTTTCGTGCATAATACGGATTTTGTCGACTTTCTATGTGATTGACTATGTTAGCACGTTTGACAGCCCAAGTACGTGCTTATGGAAAGGGTTGCGTACCAATTCCAACTCCCTGTATTCAGCAGGAAGCTCCGTTATATCTCCGACGTTTCCCATCCGTTCTTTGGCATACTGGCGATGTCCAAATATGTGAGGTAAGTGGCAACGTGTTATTGAAAAGACCATTGTAACTTTCGTTTACCTGTTGAAACTGGCTGAACTGCTTGCCTACTTGGGACCCAAAAGGCTTCAACTTGTCTCCAAAATTGGAGAAGACATTCGCGAGCTGTGCTGCGGGGTTGCCTGAGGAAGCCATATTGCTGAGATGGATTGGCTAAAGTCCGGCGAAACCTCGGGAATGATGACCGTGTCGCCGCAATGTTGTCATTGTTGCCTTGGCAACAAGCACCTGTCAATCCGCGCAAATGCCCTGCAGAGTCGCTTGGTGGGCTGTCAGCGTCTAACGAACGCTAATGTCCCAAATGCCTGCATATCCGGTGCATCATCGGTCCACCACCGAAATGGGCTGGTAAAACGTCCGAACAAACATATTCTGTACAGATGCTCTGCCCGTTTACACTATCCTGAAGATATTCAATAGGTAAAGTGCACAAAGAAAAATGATGGTTCAGGCGCTATTCAAAAACTCATGATAGCGAGTTGCTGGGAATGAATCGGTAAATATGTTCAATGTTCGCAGTGCATTGGGGGTTTGTTTATAATGGATGATGTGGTTATGATGGTTAAACATGGTTGGAACCCATTTCACGAGGGACATCAAACATGAATCGCGGCGCACAGGGTGCCATGGCAAGATCAGGGCAACATTTGTTCCACGATGCCCGATATCAAACCTCCACCCTTTGACCTGTCATTATATCTGGTAACGGACCAAAGCCTTCTTCCGGAAGGACATGATCTTGTCGATACTGTTCGAGCCGCAATAGAAGGAGGTGTGACGTTGGTCCAACTCCGGGAAAAAACGTTGAATACCAAGTCATTTGTCGCCATTGCCCGTCGCATTTTGCAGACTTGCCGTGCTTCCAACGTTCCTCTGCTTATCAATGATCGAGTTGATGTGGCGCTTGCAGTGGATGCCGATGGTGTACATATCGGACAGGATGATATGCCGCTTCCAATCGTCCGCCAGCTGATAGGCCCAAATAAGATAGTGGGAGTGACAGTTGAAACCGCAGAACAAGCAGTGCGGGCGGTGGCAGATGGAGCGGATTATGTTGGAACTGCAGCCATCTTTCCGACAGGGACTAAAAAGCACCCGGCGTCTTTTAAACCGCTTGGCATCGCAGGTGTACAGGATCTCATGCGCGCCGTAAGGAAATATCATATCCCAATGACAACAATAGGTGGAGTCGGTATCAGTAACGTGGAAGATATACTGAAAAAGACCGTTTTGCCAGCTGGACCCGAAGGACCGGAATATCGCTTGGCTGGGGTTGCTGTGGTCTCCGCTATCATCGCCCAAATAGATGCCAGAGCCGCTTCGGCCCAACTGGCTGCAAAGATCCGCTCGTGTGGTCTTACACGCTCAATTACAAGGCCTCGGTCAATCTCTTCTACACATCGCAGCGCGGAAGTCCAAGTGCTTGTGGAAAGAGTCGTATCTGCATTCAATCGTATACGCGAACGGAAACCTCTCATTCATAATATCACAAACTACGGTAAAGATTACTTTGGCGCATGGTCACTGGAGGATTCGGAAAACACTCACGTCCAACATCTTCCGCTTGAAAAGTTGTTATGAACGACACAGCCAACACGATTCTGCAATTGGGCGGGCTGCCCGTAATGGCCCATAGCGTCGAGGAAGTAGCAGATATAACGGCTGTATCGCAAGCATTGGTCATCAATATTGGCACGCTATCATCCCAGTGGGTCGAGGGAATGAAGATTGCTGGCAAAAAGGTAGGTAAGCTACGGGGTTAGAGGTACAGCATAATGTTTACGAAAGTAAAATTAGGCGAACGAGCTCTCTGTTCCCATCATTATGGACCCCGTAGGTGCTGGTGCCACACCTTATCGTAAGAAAGCGTGTATGGACCTCATCCATGCCCTTGATATTCACATTATCAAAGGCAATGCGGGCGAAGTGGGAGCCATCGCCGGGTTAGAAGGGGTGGAAATGCGGGGGGTAGAGAGTGTCGGGAAGCTGTCGAACCCAGCAGAGGTGGCCAGTTCTCTCGCACGTAAAGTTGGAACATGTGTTGCCATATCAGGACCTGTAGACTACGTATCAGATGGGAAGACCACTGTGTTGGTAAAGAACGGCAATGAATGGCTAGGTACAATGACTGGAACTGGCTGCTCGACCACCACCTTGGTAGCATGCTTTGCTGCTGTGGAAAGTGATCGCTTGGTGGCTGCCATTGGAGGCCTAATTTGTATGGGACTAGCGGCAGAACTGGCAGCAAAGAAAGGCATATCTGGTCCCGGTAGCTTTAAAGTGGCCCTCCATGATGCGATCTTTAATCTGGACGAGGAAACGATTAGACAAGGGGCCCAAATTGAGATAGAAATGTAGCGAAGATGGATTTTGATTACTCAGAGGCTGGATGCTGATATATAAATTAAACATGTACAAATGGAAGCAAACACCTAACTACACTGGCCCAGAATCCCCTACTTCATTGTCGCGATACTTGGTCCGCAGGTACTTGTGTATAGTTCGAGCTCGGCTGCTGCCCATACCAGGGATCTTTTTTATTATGTCATCGATATCACTAAGGCGGAACATGTTAAGGAGATTGGGCTTGCTACGGTACTCAAAATACGTGATACTAACCAATTTACAAATTCCCTTACGGACTTTACTCGAGTATTCATGATGGCCATGGCCGTCACGTCGCTGATACCCGGAATGGACAGGAGAAATTGCAAAAACTGGAGGAAAGATCACAAGATATTCTAAGCTCTATGCCATGGGCGTGGGACAAAAGGAGAAATATGCATACCTGATTCTTCTTGTCTGGAAGTAAATCTGGGACGTCTATACGTGCACCCTCTTCCGCCTCCGCCATCGCAAAGTTGTAGAGTAGCTGGGCCGTTTCCTCTATTCAACGACCAAGATGGTTTAGCTACGAAGGCTTCATCGTAATAGATCGCTCATATGTTGCCTACCAGCGGAGTCACTGAACAGAACTGTTATCTGCATTCTGATCAAGGACGCTATAATGCCTTCGAACTGCGTAGTTGCCGCCCTATTACGGTGTCATGGGTAAGATGAGATTCATAAGAATGTACGGGCCCCTAAACCTACATGCTCTGCTGTCCTTCGCTTGCCTCTTGTTCCACAATCAAGATAGGCTTCTCGCACATGGATTTGAGGTTTTCAATCTGCTCAAAAACCCGCTTATTATAGACACTGTTTAACAGATCTAAAAATGCCAATAAGCATCGACGCCTGCCGGTATCTACGAGTTGCATCAGCCTTCTTACCTGTTTTCGTCTTGCGCTCTACTGCAACACGGTTGCTGACAACTGAACAATAGGAACGGGCTCAGCGTTGATATACACACAGCGGGGATCATCAAGCGACGCACCATAGTCTCCAAAGGCCAACTGTCGGATTTCTGTTCTCAACTTGAATTTGTTCCTCAAAAGGGAGCATATCTGACCAATCGTTTTAGCGACCGGTATGTCCGATAGTGCCAGAATGCGAACTGAATGTGGCAAAGACCTACCGAGGACCTCATTTCACGTGTGTCTACGAGGATAACTAGTTTGTTCCCAGAATGTTGCTGAACTTTCTCTATGTGCGCAGTTGGACTCTCATGTATAAACAACAGTTCCTGATTAAAATGGCGGGGAGCGTTTGGTTAGACTTGCCACGAGGCGGTGCATTCAGATTTAGTGTTACAAACCCTCTGCTTCTTGGATAAGGCGCCAATATCTTTCAGGGGTGAGGGACCTTGCATCTTGAAAGGGCTGTAAGCGATCTGTTCGGCTGTCTCGGATGATGGCATTTCGGATTTGCCGTTGAGGTTCAATCTGGAGGGGTCGAGAAAAGAACAGGCGGCTGTCTCTGCTATCTCTAGTTGGCCAGGATGTACTGGTATATTGTCATTCTGAAGGTCGGTATCCTCCCAATCATCATCATCCCAGTCAATTTGCATGGCGTCTTCCACTGCGGCCCGTGCTAAACCATCTAGCTCAACTTTGCATTCTGCTATCGGCTCTTGTTGTCTCGATGGTACCGTACTTATTCGCACCGTGTTTGATTGGCCGGAAGATAGCTTTACAACATTAACTGACTTCTGCCACGGCTTAATGCACTGTAGTGAAGATCGCTCATGTGAAATGTCACCGCTACCAATATTCCCGGAAATGCCCACAGGCAGACTTTGCAGGGGTTGTTTACTGTTGTCACTAAGTACACCTCCTGTTTGATGGGCCACAGGGCCAGCCGCTAGGGGTTTGGTAACTCTTTCTTGGGGTAGATTTAAGCGGACTTCGTCATGCTGCTCCGATCCTTCTATGCGTATCTTCTTGGATGGAGACTCAATGTCCACCTCTGAATCATCCTCGATCACCGTTCGTTTTAATAGTCGTACAAAACCGGTGTCATTTTGGCTAGAGTTTGCAGAATTAGCTCCGTCGTCCGGCTGACTGATATCCTCCTCTTCCAGATCATCGTCGGAGACAATGAATCCACTTAATGTAGTGTCCTCGTCTTCGCTTAGCTCACTTTCCCTCACACGCTCGGGTGTGTCGCCAAACCTCCTTTTCCCGGGTGTCACCCTGCCCCAAGCAAATTTGTAGCCACCCGCCTTCCGGGTGCCAAATCCTCCCATCGCCGGACTCAACAGAGATCTTTGATAAAATGCCATTTTATCGGATGGTGACTCTTCAACATCGAACGACACATTAGACGACGAAACGGCCACATGTGATGGAGTTTGTGTGTCCGTTACAACAAACCCACTCAAATCTTGGTCCCAATCCTCCTCCCCTGGATCCTCATCCTCAGATTCATCTGCTTCATCAGCGGAAACCTCCACTTCATGGTCGAGAAAGGGATTTTCCTCTCCTGAAGGTTTGGGCTGCTGTTTCCGGGGTATACGAATTCCTTCCTGCTGGCGTTGTCTGCTATTCATGTTCTCAACGACTTGTCTTCCACGTTCCATTGGTGGCCCTCTTGGCAATTTCTTTTGATTCAACTTCTTCATTAGACCAGCTACTCTCAAATGGCCTTTCCGTATCGACTGACTACCTCGTAATCTGCTTAATGATCCTAATGGAGTGTGCCTGGATAAAGACTTAACCCTGCGCAGCCTTTTCATCGCTCGGCCCGATCTTTGCGTAGCCAACTGTGTTGCTCCAGCGTCCGGAGAACCTGGTCCGTTCACTTGCTCGCATAGGACGGGCAATTGTGATGAAGGGGAATCATCAATACGGAATTTGGATCTCATTTTACCAGCCAGCATGGGAGACTGGGATAAGGCCATGCCATCGTTTTTCGGGGAGGATGGGGACTTCGCTCCCCGAGAACCGTGCTCAGGGTTAGCTTGCATTTTGACTGCGGCAATCGATTCCGGGACCTTGAAGACGATTTTTTGGCAAGGAGGTTTGGGAGACGAGCAAATTTCATCTAGTTCCATTTTGTCGAGCTCAGCAAGAAAAGAATTGTCAATGTGATATTCCGCATCGACTGCAGGGCTAACAGGATCAAGCTCATTGACCGCTTCGTCCATGTTTTGGATGACATCAGAATCACGATTCTCAAGCTCTGTAGGATCACCAATCGCTACAGTTGGTCGTTCGCCGGTGATTGGCTGTCGAAGCAAACTGGATGTAACCAGCGGCTCATCCTTCGCGCACGCCGTAGCCCGACAAGGAGATTCATACACAAGAAATGCCTCATCGTGACTCCAGTCATCATCGTATTCGACAGGGTCAAAATTTTGGGACAATTCGGGAGTATTCGCTTTAGGCACTTCCTCTGCGGTGCTGCCGGCGACCAGCTTCGGTGTGCGAGATAACATCGAAAGGGGTTTATTCTTCGCTTGTAGTCTGCAACGCGGACGCAGTGATTGCCCCTCTGTAGATACTAGTCGCGGGGTGACCGCTTGTCGAGTGGTAACGGTATCCACTGCGCTTGGGATTTCTTGCATCAAAAGGTCGTCAAGGTCGTCGTGGTTTTCATATTCACTTTCTAAAATGTCATGTATATCTGAGAGACCCAGGATAGGTCGCTGAGGCTTTGATCCTGTTGCACTGGGAAGGAGTATTGGAACATCGTCCATCTTCTCGAGATTTTCGCTATGAAAAGGTTCTTGGAACTGAGCGCAGTCATCTGTTTCTCGTTGATTTGCAACGGTCTGCATTCGCCGGACGCCGGCGTCATGTTGATTTACGTCTCCCAAATCCAACCATTGGCCAATTTGTTCTGCATACGTGCTGGGTTTTCCTTCTTCTTCATCTAGAGCAAGTTGTTCCATGAGCTGGACACTCGATACGAAGGCTCGGCATCGTCGAGAGCGTTGAATCTTGAGCTCTGGTAACTCCTGGGTTTGCCAGTACGTGTAACGTGCGATATCCACCGTCCGCGCTTCATGTTCCAAGACACGATAGCGGCGGTCATAATCTTTCTGCTCTTCTGTTGTCAAGAATGGGCCGACACATTCGGCGTCCTCAGCCTCGTGCGTGGCATCACTGACACGCTTCGGTCGCTTGGAGCCATTTTTAGCAGTATATTGAGCAATATCAAGCTGCATCTTTACGCATACTGGCTTCGTTCCTGGTGGCAACATACGACACTGATCTTCCGAAAACATCTGCAGTTTTTTTCCTTGCTGGTCAGTAATGGCCTTTTGTACGGTTTTGTATTGGGCTTGAGAACGACGGTGAGCGTCCTCCTCCTTTCCTTCAGTTAGAAGCAGTATGACTTTCCCTTGACGCTTTCTCCCTGTACGTCCCATTCGTTGCAACATGCGGATCGGCGAGTTTTGAACGTCATAGCATAAAATCAGATCTACCTCTCCAATGTCTAGTCCTTCTTCTCCGATGCTCGTGGCCACTAAGACGTTATAGTTGCCTTTTTGAAATTCAGATAGAACCTGCGAAGGCGTGTTCATCTGGGGTGAATGTTAAGTAAATGCCCAGAGTGGTCACTCACCCGCAGCTGCTCTTTCTGAGAAAATCCCTTCTTTGTTCCCTTTCCACCGGCCGACTGGCCAACGAAAGACATCACACGAATCATTGGCTTATGCTGCTCCAAAGCTGCCTTAATCTCCTCTACACTTTCTCGGAACTGAGAAAAAACCATCACGCGAGTCTCTCGACACTCTGTGCTGCGTCCGTCTTCGGTAAGCCTTTGCGTTTCCTCAGCATGTTCAACAAAATGCTGAACAACCAAGGAGACAAGCCTGTCAAGTTTTGGGTGACTTGAAAAGGTCGGAGATCCCATCAATTGCTTTATGCGACTCATCAGTCCGAGAAAATCGCGATTCTTGAGAAGCTCTGCTCTGGATCTTGATATGCGCGCCCCCGACTTCTGAGCCTCTTCGACATAACTGTGAAGGTGGCTATAACATGTGCGAATCCCGTGCACCACCAAGAATTGCATTGCGGCCGCCAGCTATAACAAAGAATAAAATTAAATGTTTGAAATAGAAGACATTTTCGCAAGTAAGAACCCTACCGTCATGGCGACCCCGAAATCTCCTTCGAGCGATGCAGCGCGTCCTGGGGTCATTACTCCCTGCGTCCCTTGCTGATTTCGCAATTCCTGTCGCCACCGGTCTCTAGCGAGGAGAAGCTCGTATCTGCCCACGTTTTGAGGGTCATTCCGATAAAAAGCCTTGGCTTTGCAGAGTCGGTTGATGAAGACCTGCGTCACCTTGTTCAACGTTGTTTGAAGAGATGTGATGGCATCTGAAAGAGGAACTGTCACGAGCTCGAGAGCACGCTGAAAAATGAAGGGCTTTATGTCGAGAGAGTCCTCTGTTCGAATTTCAATCCTTGCAATTAACATATTCCCAACGACTTGCTGCACTGTCTTGGTGTCTGAGCCGGGGGTTGCTGTCAATGCCAAAATTCGAAAGCGCTGGTTCCTTAGTCGCAGCTCACGGACGACTTCGCAGTAAGCGTGATTTCCGGTCGCACGATGCGCTTCGTCAACAACCAAGAGAACCACATTTTGCGAAGGACATGTTCCGCGATTCAAGTCGTTTTGCATAACTTGAGGAGTGAGAAAGAAGACTCGCTTATGAATCCAACTCAAGCGGCGAGCATCGGGTGACGTCGTTCCCGTCAGTTCCTCAGTTGCGTCCTGTGAGAGACGACGTACGTTAACGAGGATGAATAAACTCAACAGCTTTTTGGAGTACCTGTGGAATTCCTGTAATTTTGTAGCAAGCTTCAATTTGCTGAGCGACTAAGGGCTTTGTAGGGGCCATGAATATGATTTTTCCGTCAGGAAACCAGCGGAAGAAATTAAACATGACCACAGCCGCAATGAATGTCTTCCCAAGACCAGTCGGCAGAGAGACCAGCGTATTTACGTGAAGGCATCGACTGACGATGTTGAATTGGTAGTCTCGAACCGGAACATTGGTCGGATAAATCCATGTCTTTATGGCCTCCGGGTCAACTGGGTGGAAGCTAGGCACAGATTCTGATGATGGTGAAGCAGGAGCTGCAAGCGCAGCTCTGAAGGTTCTCAACGTTTGAGGATGATGAGACCCACTACTCGTCTCGTTTGATCGAGTTCCTGAGGTCCCTGTCTGCGCCGCACCAATTCCGTTTTGATTGGCGTTCAGTTTACGAACGAATTGCCCCAGTGTCCTTTGGCGCTTTCCAGAATCAGTGAAGTCGCCATTTGGTACACTTGACGGATTCTTTTTCTCCGACTCCTTGACTGTCCTACCATCAACGCTTCCATATTCACGCTCAACATTGGCTAAAGCTTGCAGACACGCATCGTCGTCCAGATCCAAATCTGCAAACAACTCGTCATCGCTGATCATGCCTATCTCCTTACGCTAACCTGAGCCAGGTGAGATTGCAAGCAGTTGGTCACAATTGATGCATCGACATCGCTTACCAGTTGCTGCACTTCTCTTCCGGGCCTATCCAGCGTATGCGTCCCTCTTTTCCAGTGCCAAGTGCTGAGAGCAGGTTGGTTCGATACTTCCAGCAGGATAGATCATTAGCGCTTATCGAGAAAGCTTTTGATTCTAGCGTAGTGCGATATCCCACAGATCGTCTGCCAGGAGTGGCCGTTTAGGTATTTGCAACCTAAACATCGGATAAATGACCTTGATCGCTGGCGTTGCCCGGCACACTCCCGCAATCCCGCAATCCCATAAGTGATATCTCGTTTAACCTTTTTGGGGTTTATTGCTGAGTAAGCATCGCCCATCATTAAGCTACAGTAACGGCAGGTTGTCTAGATCGCAGATGACGAGTAGCACTGAAGATATTCTGCCAAGCAATGTCCCTTTTATGCATTGAAGAGATCCAATAACACCCCAAGTGTGGCAAAAAGCTTATTGGACTCAAAGTGGCCTGAATCGTAATTGAATAAAGACATACGTGCAGGTGATAATCCGAACATAACCTTCAATTACTACACTGTAGCATGGGGCATATGGCGGAATCCTCCAAGAGGAATACGCTTGAATGCTCCTTGCGGGCATCAGAACTGAAGTCCCGATCGCAAGACCAGGCCGCCAGTATCTCCCGGATGTGTTGCTGCAGGAAGCAGTGTGTTTACTGTGATGCCCCTATCCACATGATCTACTGATGACTAAGCTGCTAAGCCATCATGTTTAGGGTTTGGACTTGCCAGACTGCACCCTTGCGCGCAGAAGAGTTTTGGGACTGAAGCATCGCTTGCATCACATTTCCTTTGACGTTTAACGATGCCGGCACCGCTTCTGTCATGTGGGCCCCTACCCGTTTTGGATCGTTTCGCTACCGACTATTGCAACCCGTGGTTGTTCAAGGATTCTCAACTGTTGGAAGTCCCAAGCACAAGACATCAGCGGCCAATGTCTCTGGCGGAGGAGACATGGTGCCGTCATCGCGCCTGTATGTTTCTTGATAGAGTTGGAAGCAAAGAGGGTGACCAACACATGATGAAGAACGGCCGTGTGCGAGGACTAGACCTGTAAGTGCTGGCACCGGCGTATGATGCAGTCTTGTATTCGGCGACTTTTCAAATCTCGATTGCTGGTTGTGTCAGTTATGGGTACGGACGGTGCTGACTCTCCAATATCTACTTTTGCAGTAAACCAAAGTTTGTGAGCACCGCGAAGGTTCTACTACATCGATTCTACATGTGTAGTTCCTTCCAAGACAGTCATTATCACGAAGTATGCGGAGCGCTGTTGTACTTGTGCGCCAAGATGGGAGAAGGCAGAGAAGCGAGAGCCCTTTCAGATGTTGTCCTGCGATGTGCTCTTTCCGCGAAAAAGGCCCCTGTCAATGAAAAGGTATTGTGACACACATGTTGGTATCCTACCCGAAGAAATTCTTCGGAGCTGACATCATACAAATAAGGATCTTCAAACCTGGACCAATAGAATCAAGTTTTGGGAGGGTGAGCTTCTTTACAGACTCTCTTTCGATCTACTGGTGGACCTGCCACACGGCCATGCAATGAAAATAATACAGGATTTCCATGGTGCGTGTCTGATTTTTGTGGAAACGTCGATTTTCTTGCAGCAAGCGGCCTCAGAAGTGACATACTAAATCACTACTGCTGTACAGGTTCCAAGGAGCTCCAATCAAGAGCTTTCCAATACTGTAACGATGCGTAAGTTATCGAGCCTCTAAAGAGTTTACAGCCTTCGGCTGGACATATACAGAGCTCTGATAATCTACTGCTATGCCTTTTCCTCTAGCCTGCTCACCACTCTGACCGTACGAGCAAGATCAGAACATATTGCGCATTCTGCTATATATTTGGCTTCTTTTAAATTGAATGAGCCACTTGAACGGGATGGTCAGCAGTGGTGGCAGGAACTCGGTATCGAGAAACGCCGCATGCAAGGTGCGTCGATTGCAGTTGATTATGCACTATGTGTCCTTGGCATTCTAACAAGGCGCCACTGTTATAGCTTATGCGTACGAAATCGTCTGTGCCAAAGACGAAAAGAAAGTCAGAGCTATTGTCAAGGAACGAACCACCTTACTCAAGAGTAAACGTAAACGCCACCACGTCAACGATCGTCCGAGTAAACGTGCCAAGGTGAATTCTTTGTATATTTCATCTTCCTGTGAAGCGACATAACTGACGAATTTCTTCCGTGGTGCGTCAGGTTACTCCAGTGACACCCTCCCCTTCAAGTCCCTCTAAGACTCCACAGCAAACATCCCCCCGATTCAGTGACCACTCTGCCCCATGGAGCACAGCAAATCACACAACTCAATCCCAACCGCCTCTTGGTGGTTCCTCCCCTTTTCTCCCTACAGAACCGCTACGCTCCCACCAGCCGCCACCACCATTGCCTGCAGAGGCTCCACCAACTCCACGAGACCATACACGCCGAGTCTCCAACGCAAGGCCCCCGTCAAACCATGATTCGGTGCGCGGCTCTGATACCCGGCGCACATCTCACAGTGGAAGGGCGCCCACACCGTCAGCGCGGCCGTCAAAAAGCCGCGATCGTACTTCCAGTTAGGAACACCGCTCGAAGCCATAATGAGGCCACACGATAGTTTTGTAAATAATGATGTTTGCGGGAGCCCTAAGAATATAGCTCTCCCAAATACCGGTGGTAACTCGCTTGCATTTTGCGGGCCATCTAAGAACCTAAGGAGCATCCGGACGATACATATCCGCTTCCTTGCTTTTGTCGCAATATTGGAGGCCGTGATCATTATGTTATTAGAGACATTTCCCGCTGCCGTTCAATATGTACAATTAAAATTAAACCCCTCTCGAGGATGTATGAGGTTCTCTTTTCTGTGTTGACTTGGGTACTAAATGGTCATGTTGCTGAGTTTGGGGCCCCTGATAGGCCAGACGATGAGGGAGGCGGTGAATAGTCCTATCGTGATACTAGATTGCGAGCTCGAAGAGTAAACATCTTGGGAACTGGACCGTAAACACACTCTGCACACTCACCTCATTCCAATGATGAGCATTTGAAACGCGAAATTCGTACCATCCGACGCATTCGCTCCCAAAAAACCAAGGGTACTTCTAACTCCCACACTACCGGGGACCAACAACAATATACCAGCCAGGATAGGCGCGACGGCGGCATCGTGGGTGATTCGGGCATAGATATTCGAAGAGAGCCCAATCACGAGAGCAGAAAGAACCATTGGAAGCTGCGCATTGGCACGGAGAGACGGTATTTGGTTCAAGAAGTAATAGGCGACAAATCCCAACGCGGAAACGAAGGTCATGATGGTCCATTGTCGAGGCCGTGCTTCAAAGAAGATGCAAATGCAGATAGACATTGGCGGGAAGAGCAAAAAGTACCAATATGGGGAGACGGGGTCGTTCGTGCCGCAGTAGGCGGGTTGTGAGGTGTTCGCTTGCTGGCCAAACAATAGAGGACCGACAGACATTCCGAAACCTATGTAAATATAATATGAGTTCAAATGCCTATGAACGAGTCGGAATCGATAAAGCAGATACCAACCAAGAAGCATAGCAGTAAAAAGTGCATGAAACATTCTCACTGTGCCAGACACCATATTGCGTGTGGATATTTCGATGATACTGATTGTGAGCGACAGACCCTGTAAAGCATGCAGAGCATGATGAGAAGAGGCACCTTGACATGAGTTCCAGGGCTTTACCTACCGGTAAGAGCACCGCAAGTGCACTGAGAGTAACAAGCGTTTCATGGAAGCACTCATCACGGGAAATGCTTTTGAAGACCCGTGCCAAGAAACTGACCACTAATGCCGACGCAAAGTCCAGCAAATACGTGAAGCTTGGATAGCGAGCAGCCGCCAAACATAAACAACCGACAACCAGTCCAAAAAAGGCGGAAACACCGGCTTCAACCCAATTTGTTCCAAAACCAATGATGCTGATGCCAAAGGAAACGACTGGGAATGTAGACAGGAAGAGGGGACGAGAGTACTCGGCTTCTGAGCGAATATCTTGGAGCCGCTTAAGAGCGTCATCAATCAATATCTCGCCTGTTTCGAGCACATGACATAGTGCATTGACGGCGGAAAGTTTCGACATGTTGAAACCTTGTGGGGCTTTGACGAGGTGCGTGGTAGATGAGTGATCTTCGTTCCCGAAGCTAATGAGGATGAGACCTAGATAGCCTCCTACCATAAGAAAGATGTGGTACGCAGAAATCATATACCTAACGTAGCTTACCAGGCAATACAATAAAGTTACTCTCAACTTCTAGTGCATCTGAGACAGTTCTCAAATGGAACTCTAGTCGATGACTTGGCGCACCGTACATTGCGAAAGCTCTCGACAGCTTGATCAAGAAATCACGCTTTTTTAACTGAGTTGACGAGGATGTCAAATTGAGTTCTCTAGGAGGTCTGGTTTCTGCAGACGCCGACCAGACCTACTTACCAGATCTACAGTATCGATTCCTGTGGTTCATGCATCAGCTTGGATACAAATCAGTACATTTCATACTTTGGACTTACCACTGATAATTGTGTGCTCAGATCGGTGATCTTTACTTTTTTCCACATCGTAACCATCGCAAGTTGAGCAATAACTGGATTTTCGGCTGGATGTCCAAATCGAGGGTGCTGTTCTAACCGTGGCATTATCATCGTCTGATTTTCTAGATCGGTTTCCCAAGATCGACGCAATGGTTGCAAGGTAATTGGTTTGTTTTGAATCTACATATGTCATCTCGCTGTCCCGAGACATGCCGCGGTAAAGCACATCTGATGGCTGGCCGGTAGGTGATGGCAAGCCTTTTCCTGGAGCCGCAGTCTCAGATGCAGGAGACCTCGGTAGAATGCTGTCTGGGGTGTGAGGTTGAATAGGTTGACTCTGTGTTTCTACATGGGGCGGACTGTTCTGCTCGGTCGGATCTTGTGTCTCGATCGTTCGTGAAGGGACATCTACTGATACGACGATCTCTTCTATCTGAGCCATTCCTGGTGCCATACTTGGACGTCGGCGATGATGGGATATGTGAGTGGTACCACTGCTCGTCCGGCGATGAAAACCCGTGCGGGTTGGACTGGTACCAAGGACAATGGTACTGCCGTGGGGCTCCACCATCGCTGGATCACGCAGGACAGGATTGCCCGTCGCCGACTGACGGGCAGGGTGGAAAAAGTCGTCAAAGAGGGACATTGGACAGTCAAATTGTGAGGGTTTCAGTACTGGACAGATGCTGGGCTCTCGCCAAACAAATGGAATCGATGAGCGCCAAAAGAACCTCAACGTTCAAAGAGCTCCGATTCTGACTTTGGTCCAACTTTTTTTTTTTTTTTTGGTTTTTAATTCTCTTCTTTTTTTTATGAATATGCGCAATCACTGCGCATAACTTTAATCAGTTCTGAGTGTTCCAAGGCGGCCCTTTCCTTAAAACGTGTTTTGGCTTCTGGCTTTCTTTCTTTAGGCCGCCGTCTAAAAAAAAATAGAAAAATGGAAAACAACCAGCGCGTATTTGGCAGGTCGGGAAGTTGGGTGTTGACTTTTATGCGTTGGGGTTTTTTTTTGGAGGGCGGTAGATGAACCTTAATCGATGCATGACTATTGTTTGTAAGGAGTAAAAACGTCGTGCAGCTCGTGCTTGACAAAAAGGAGCGCTGCCGACAGGTGCAAAGCTCCGGTGAGAGCAGCATTTGCACACCATTTTGGCCGCAACGAGCGTGGTGTGTTCGACAGCTGGTTGGCACTGCCTCGATACTTCCACAACATTAGCACACTCCTTGCTGGTTCCTGATGAACTCAGATTTTTCGCTCTGGAAAGCTCCAGGCAGTCCGTCATCATTTTCTTTTTGTCAAGAGCCTCTCCTCCACATCACCAGGTGTCATTGCAGCCGCCTAAATCTTTTCTGGAACCGTCGTGTTGAACACGCCAGCAGCAAGGTTGCGACATTTATCATCACATGATGTCATGGAAGCCTGAGATGGAACAGCTTGCATCAAAGAAATTGGTTGGACAGTAAGCGGCGATATAGTGCAAGGTTCAGCTATCCTTCTTGAATCGGAATGCATACAGGCAGCATGATTACGGTTCCAATCAACGATCCGAGCGCATGGATGACCTTAACACCAACCTTCTTGCAGTAGGATCTCAACCGCAAAAGGATGCACTTTGATCTGTTTATGAAGACACTTGGACCATCGAACGCACGCTCTTTTGCGGAATAGGACATACCTTGTAATGTGAGATGCTACATGAATTATTACCGAATGACTACTGACGCTCTCGGGAGAATGGTAAGGAATGAGTGACAAACGTGTATGTGAAGAAGAAGGTGGAAGTTTAAACAGGCCAGCCTGTCCATTCCAATATGCTTGATGATTCGTGGCGAATGATATGCTTACACTCTTTCAGGGGAGAAAGGGACAGAACCATCATCATGATAGCGTTATTCCTTTGAGCGCTTGTTGTCTTGAAGATCACCAGCCTTCAGGCATGTTACAGCGTCTAATAAGTGTAATATACAATAGTGTTCCATGCAAATATCCAACACGCCCTCCAAAACCCCGCTCCATTTCCAATCTTTCCTACAATGTCTATCCTGTGAGCAGTAAACCTTGCTGTTCCACTATCTCTCCGTAGTCGTTCATCACCAGCGCAAATCTATGCTGCTATGCACAAGACTTCACCGCCCACCTCTTTCGTCAACGCTTCCTTCAGCTCAATAATTCCGTATGGTGTGTCTAGAATGGTGACTTGTCCGACTTCTTGTCCCTTCAGCAAAGGTCCCGCTCTTCTGGCCGCTGCAATCGCCTGTAGCTCCTCCACAGATGCAAATATTCTTCTCGATGGTTTGGAGACGGCCCGCATCTTCTGTAGAACCGCCTGTCCATCTCGGTACTTCAGATCGAGCCAGATCTTTCGTCGTGCAATATTGTCTGGAGTTATCGGAACTTCTACTCCTCTCTGAAAAGGTCCTGTCTCATCCCCGGATGCTAGCGTAGAGACAAAACCTTCTTCATACAAAATTTGGCAGATCGCTCGGTTGGTCGCGCTGTGTGGGACCGCAACACGGCGGAGCTTCCATCGAAAGCTGTTCTGTATTTGTGAGCAGAGATTGTGGACAGGTGCCATGGTATTTATGGTGATATGGATTTGCTGCTTTTTGCATGCTAGCCATCCCGTCAAGTCAATCTCTTGCGGTTGCCAAGGAAACAGTTGAGTCACAGTGCTGCGCATTGGAGATGAGGGTCTGCTTGCTTAACTTTCATATCATGGACCACTCAACACCTCTGTCGCAGCAAAACCGTCGCCTTTCTCAAGTTTCCAAAGATGTCCCCAGTCCTACGAAGCCCCGCTCTCACCCAGTCAAGACAGTCCTGAAGGAAGAGCAAGTCAACCGTCTTCTTGACTCGTTTTCATTTTCATATGAAGATAGAATTGCCAAAGCTCTCGAACCAGATGCTTCCGAGTCCACGGCACCTTCAATATTGGAAACAGGCTATCTGGAGAGTGTTGATATTGCACTGGAGAAGGTGAAAAAACAATGTAAAGATGCCCTGGAACAACTCGAACAGGTGGGCGAGTTAATATTTAGCGCTATGTAGCCGCGAGTAGTTCTAATGCACGTTGTTACCGCATCTCAGGTTCAAAAGCAACTTCGATCAAGATCACAACGACCCCATGTTTTCAAAAGTCCAATTCCCGGGACAACCGTATCTGGCGAGGAAGCTATGAGGATGAATGCGGCACAACGTAAAGCAATTTTGCAGGAGAAAGAACGGGCACTAAGAGCAGAACTTGAGCAGAGGAAGCGAGGTGTGCAAGATGATGCAATTTGTACACTTCTCTATTTGGTGATTGAGCGATGTGTGCCTCTCAGATATGCTAGTCTTTGAAAATGATGATGAAATTGTTCTGGACGCACGAGTTCGAAAGGAAGTTGTAGAAATTGTGGATCAATACCAGTCTGATGAAGGATTGACTGCACTGGAAAACCAGTTGTGGAAAGAGCTGAATCGGAAGGAGAGGTACGGTTATATTGTGCGGGTTTCTTCAAATTTTGCAATGACCTAACTGTCTTGTAACCGCATGCAGCGAACAAGGCATTGAACAATTTCTGGAGCAGAAGCGGGATGATCTTCGGAATTGCGTCGAAGATACAGTGAAAGCAAAAGGAGCTAACGTTGCAATCTTACAGTATGTTACACCACGCCCACTATTTTCGACTTTGTTCATAACGTTACGCCCCTGTCGACAGAAAACAAAAGGAAGTCAAGGAACGGTTGCAGGAGGAATGCAATGAGTTTGAAAAGACCCTCCGTGCTTTCGTTCAGCGTCATTATCCTCTTCCGGCAATTATGGGCGTACGTACTAGTTGAATAATGTAGAAGGGCCCACCAGTTGGTCTCACATCGCGCAATTAGAGTGAGCGAAAGCGACCTTTGGAGCGTGACGATGGAGCTGAGCTCGCTCCTGAAACATGTCACTCAGTCACCCAACTGTCTCTGATGAATATTATCGACGTAAGTAGCACATCTATTGGGGTCCGTGATCACATCTCTGAGCATGATTTCCATTAGCAATTGCTACAGCAATTCGAAACGACACCTGATGATCCATATATCACTCTTTTGAACGGAACATATTATCCTCCCCATGTGGAGATGCTGCTTCGAGCGGACGTGGTTGAGCGGGATGAGCAAAATCCTGCTAGGATAAAGCTCGTTGACTTCCATTTATAGTTCAAACTATCATATTGCAACTTTTTTTACAAATTGAAAGCGTAATACAGCAAGACGCACACTAACAGCGCATGCCTACTTGGGCTGCCATGAATGGTTTGCTTCTCATCGGTACAATTGCTACTGATGTGGCATTCAAAAGCTTGGCTTAGCGACTATGACAGCGGACTATCCCTTTTGTTCAGGCGTCGATCATTGTCCAGTTCGCGACCATTTACCCGACTGCAGAACCAGCACGGTTGACCGATGGAGGGGTTACAGATATGTGGATTTGCAGAAGGCCTCCTCTTTGGTCGGTCCTTTGAGTTTGCATCAAGCAGCATACTTGCAGGACTCAAGGATCGCAATTTCGCGTCATTGTCAGCTTTATCTAGATATCCTGTGCTGGGATCGGGCGGCATGAAACTTCGGTGCAAATCCCACGCGTGAATTACATAGCTGTTTTTGCTGGACATTCCACCGCTCTGGTTGCACATGGTCCCACAAATCTTACAAAGAAGCCCACGAGAAGTCGGGGCTTGTACACGCTTGCAAATAGGGTTGACGCAGACGTAGCGTTGCCGTCCAGCATCAGATGTCGGAAGGAGTGTCGACGACTTACACACGGTATAGTTAATGCAAACCACTTCAAATAAGTCTCGAGCTGAGGTGGGTGTTTTCGGAGTGGACCGAGAGCGAGAAGCGGGCGATGCGGATGTGATATGTAGATTTGAAGCAGGGGCTAAATATTTCGGTGATGCCACACTCGCGGATGTGGTCAGTTTTCCATCAACTGCGTTGGCAGAGTCAAACGCATCCAAATCAATGACTTGACTTTGTCGGGCCATACTGGTTTCCTTGGCCTTCATATCAACCTTTCTCCTCTTTTTGCTTCCGCTGTCAAGACCTTCCCCAATCTCGGTAGTCACCCTGCTCCGCCCAGTTTTGAGTGTGCTGTCTGCATCCTTTCCTTCGCTTTTGACCGGCGCGTCCATAGAATCTCTTCTGGACCACCCTATAATTAACGCACTCCTGTCATCCCATCCACCTTGTAGTTCACGCACCCGCTCTCCGGGCCTTACTCTCCTGTTATCCTCCCAAACCACTAGAAAAGATGGGTCCTGTGCATCCAGGTCTCGACGCGTAGACAATGCCAAAACCTTCAAATCGTGAACGCAAAACTCTGCGTTATCAGGAACTAGGACCGGTTTAGCATCCGGTGCATCTTGATAGCGAATCCAAAGTCTCATCTGAAGCGTGAGAATGTAATGGACACCACATGGAGGAGCGGCAAGTCAAAGAGTCTGCGCGATCGCTTTGTCAGCGCCTCACTGCGCCACACGCCGTCATCATTTTTAAACCAGTCTTAACGCATCTCACGTAAAGCCACCTCAGTCGACCCCGATCGTCGCGGTGCCCAAACCGTTTGGGATTGAACTTGCGAGATCACCAGCATCATCTTCTTCTCACCGTTACTGGTACCATAAAGAATACAGCCATTCTTTCTAGACGACAGTCTTCTGCCCTTTCCTTCCTGTCTGTAGGGTTCCGAATTCTCTTCAACTTCAAACCCCGGCGCATTTGCCGGCTTCCTCGCAATCCTGACTCTGAGTACCCTTCGATGTACAGCATACCGATAACACCCCTCCGCAGACACATCAACGGTTTCCCGAGCGCGCTTGTTGCTTATAAGCTCCCGCCTGCTGGTCCCTTACAGTTAGTCGATTGGGATAGTGAATATGTCGACGGAAGTCTTACAACTTGGCCTATCACAACCGTTATCACATACCTTAGACAGCGCTTCTCTTCACCGACATGTCGCTGAGACGCACATGGCACAACAAATGGCTCTGCCCAACGCTCACAGCGATATGATATTGCAATCAAATTCTGCTGAGGCGGCATCAAACGAGCACATTGACGAAGCCGAGAAACATGCGGAAGCCCAGCATGGTCACATTGATGAACAGGTGTGTAGAAAACGTGGACTTGTACAAGGCTTTGGAGGAACTCGTTTGTGACATTTGCGTATGTTTTAGTCGCATAACGATGGCATGATCAATAGGCCCCACACAACGTCCTCCATACCTGGCATTGGGATTCCCCACAACATACCTTCCGAGACAATGCACGCTCAGGCACACGCCGCATTGCTTCATGCTATAAACACCGCGGTCTTACAGCATCGCCTCTCTCAGGTATTTACGTCACCTTGGCCATTTCAATTGGTTGCTCCTCCTCTTATCAACTAGTTTTTGGCTAATTAAAGGCCACAAGCGTACTTGCCGCCAACCCAGCAGCCAATGCGATCCCACTTCTCTCTGGTCTCACCCTCCCGTCCGCCACCGGCAACCCGTTTCAGACGCAGGCCAATTCAAAAGTTGCACCTCCGCCCGCGACCTCCAACACGCTCCTTCCCCAACATTTACCCATTGCACCAGCGCCACCATCTTTAACGGGCACACATCGGGTATCCCGCAGTCTTTCTCAGGAAGAAAGACGACAGCGTCGATTGATGCGAAATCGAATTGCTGCGAAAGAATGTCGGCAGAAGAAAAAAACATATGTTATGGAACTCGAACAAAGAATCAAGGAGTTAGAGGATGAGAATGATGATCTTAGACACGAGAATGAGGAGCTTAAATCACAACTTCTTTTGAGGGATGCTGACACTGGAAAACCAAACGGCGTTGTTGAAAGGGATTCCCTAGATTTGGGACATCCTGCTGGGGAAACTGATGCTGGGAAGGCGCCTTCCGATAGCCGAACGTGATTGCGAAAGGGAGAGTGGCAGACGGAACGACACGTACAGCGGACTCGGGGCAAATTCAGGAATCTGATTTCCAACTGAGTTGCAAGAGCAAATGATTGTATATAATTGTAGTTAGTTTATCAACATGCAGACTGGCTAGGTGTTTTATCTGGAAGTCGATGGCGCGTGGTAATAGCTGTCGCGGAATGCTACCCAGTAGTCCTTATATATTTACTTTGTGAAACGTATCGACGCACGTCCGTTCCATAGCCGTGGACGAGAAAATGGTATTCGGATGGTAGTGATGATTGGGGACGGGATGGTTACCAACGCGGGTTAGGGTTTATCGCTGTGGCCAAGTGTTTCATCAAACTGCTGAGCCTGGATTTTGTGTTTCTCCACCTTCGCCCGCAGATCTGGGTCGGATAGTACAGCTGAGGACAGAAGAATGTCAACCTGTCACTCATTGATGTGCATAGACGTTCGTTCTGAACTTTATTAAATCCCCACCTGCGGCAAATTCTTGTACGTTACTCGGTTGATGGGTCAAAACTTCCGTCATGAAATAGTCCAGAATATGTTTGATTTCTGGATGCTTTCGAATGTAGTGCTCATTTTCTATTCGTAGTTGGATCTACCCAAAGAGTTGCCTATCGGCTTCATTGCAGAGCGAAAGACCTGCAAGCGAAATGCACGAGATAACTACCTTGTCATGATTGAGTTTCTCTTGCATGGCGGCATCGATGACATGGGCAGACAGTGGCCGCGCCGTTGGAGCACTAGTCGATCCGCTCGCTGTCCCCATGGCTGTAGCAACCAAAGCAGCAAGATGGGGATTTTGCACAGTCAAATGCCAAAACACTCTCCCATTCAAGCGCTGACCTAACCCGTCGCGTCGCTTACGATGACCAAACAAAGCGGATATCCATTCTTCAGATGCTCTTGAGGCGTCAAGGCCTTCGGCGTCCATCCCAGATTATACACACCTTTTACTGAACTACATCCACTATGGCCGAAGTAAACAGCTCGCTACCCCGCTCAACCTCGTTGCCGTCCTTGACCAATCCTATCTCGGCAAAGTATTCGTTCCGGAAGATGATTGGGAAAGGCGCTTATGGAACAGTTTGGGTTGCTCGAAACCGGGAGACGAATGAGGAGGTGGCTATCAAAAAGATTGGTGCTAGAAACTTTGAGAATGTCATGTGGGCAAAGCGGGCGTTGCGGGAATTGAAGCTTCTGAGGCATCTACATGGAAACGATAATGTACGTGTCATGTTGTGAATATTTGGCATGACTGAAGAGTCTAACTTCGTGATTGTTATCAAAGATTACTAGTTTCATCGATGCCGAAGCCAATTCGGCGGATCCCCAAGACTTTAGTGAGCTTTACCTGGTTGAGGGGCTTATGGAGGCGGACCTCGCGCAGATCATCAAATCCAAACAACGTCTTACCGATGAACATCATCAGTACTTTATTTACCAAATTTTGCGAGGACTAAAGTGGATGCATTCAGCTGGTATTGTGCATAGAGATCTAAAGCCGGGTAAGAATCATGTTTAACCTAAATGCAAAACTTGCGTGTCATGCTTCATCCTGCCAACTGCTCACATATGATTTCGGATAGGAAATGTTCTGGTTAATAGCCACTGCGAACTTCGTATCTGCGATTTTGGTCTCGCCCGCGGACAGCCAGAGAAAAATGCGCATCTGGTCCAAACAGAATATGTCGCTACTCGATACTATCGGGCACCCGAAGTTATTCTTTCTCCCAGACATTATGGCAAAGCTCTTGATTTGTGGTCGGTTGGCTGTATATTTGGTGAGCTCCTACTGGGCCGGGTCATGTTCAAGGGTCAAGATTACGTCGATCAATTGAAAATCATATTCGAGGTCCTGGGTACTCCTCCAGACCTGGAGAGCATGGGCTTATGCTCGCCCAAGGTAATAAATCGATCGCCCATTCGACGATATGACCCCTTAGCAAACATATTTAACGCCTGAATTTGGTACAGGTCCTCAGATTGTTGGCATCCTGGCGCAAGTGGACCAAAATCCCACTCGAGAAGATCTTTCCAAAGAATGCGAATCCAGGTGGCTTGGACCTTATCGACCGACTGCTAACATTTTCCCCAACCGAACGCATTACGGCTCAGGAAGCTCTGACGCATCCGTATCTGGAAGCTTACCATTTGGAAGAGGACGAGCCAGTCCATCCCAAACAGTTTGATTTCGCATTTGAATGGGCAGATGATATTTCAAGTATTAAGGGTAATGTCTGACATATTTGGAACGACACATTCCGATATCTGGACGCTCATGTGCTTATCATTGTATAGAGCTCATTATCGAGGAACTGAGAGCAATCAAAGCCGAGCAGAAGAACAAGGTTCAGATCGATAACTCAAAGAAGACCGACCACGAGAGGGAAAAGCTCCTCTCACCTAGACAGTATGCGCAACATTACCTATCACTTGATCACATCACATAGGCTAACTCTGGCACTTAGAACAAGCCACCCACCGCAGCTTCCGGCCCAGCAACCCGAAGATAATGCGGCAGAGGATCCAGCAATTACAGAGGTACACCAAGCAGGGAGCATAGAAGAAGAGCTTGCGGACTTGCACATTGCAGCATAAAGACGGTCGAGGTATAAATGGATCCCACGTCCATGTAGTTATAAATAAGGGAGTTATCAGGGACAGCCAATGGAATAATATTGAAGCAATATATTATTATTACCTCACAATTCTCATTACACTCCCATGCATGAGTGTACATTGATTAAATCACCACTGGTTGCAACACAATCTATCTACTTCCAAGTAAATCTTGACAAATCCCAGTGTAATAGGCAGTCATTTCTTCAGCAGTGGTCGACTATGCAAACATTTTTGCGTACGTGCGCTTCTCTTTTTCCACTCTGTCCTTTATTGCCTTCTGTGCAAGAGCGACCTCCCGCTGAATCAGTTTATCCTCTGGGGATAATTTCTGCGCCGCCTGGAGATCCACGAGCGCCCCTTCAAAATCGTTCAACTTGGCTAGCGCCTGCCCTCTACGAAAGTACGCCTTGCATAAATCGCCCGATGAAACGCTCAAATCTGTCTGGTTTTCTAGAGATTTTGCCAAGTCAAGGACAAGAGTCGCTGAGGAGGCAGCTTTCCGCCATGAAGTCAGCTTCAGATGGCACTTTACCGTGAATGTGAGAACATTGCGTCATGATACACGATTAGCAGAATCACAAAGCGCTACTATACCATCGCAGTGTTCAACAGACAAGACGTCTTTGTACTAAAGAAAGTTTTCTTCTGTTCCAAAGATAATTCCTTCACGTCTTCTGGACTGGGATGTATTGCATTAAGGTAGCGGACAGCCTTGCTGTATTTCTCTGCTGCTGCGTTATAGTCGCCTTTCTTGAACTTCTCGTTACCCAAAGCTTTGACTTCTCCAGCAATCTTCAATAGGTCGTCCGCGGGTTTCTCTTCACCCATATCTTCTGGATATTCTTCGTAACTATCGCCATCGGTCGGTGGTGGAACACCGTCGTCGGCACCTTCGGCAATCTCTCCACAGTCCGCGATAACGACAGGTTCCTCTGGTCGATCCTGCGCTTTGGTTGGGAGGTTTTCAATACGTCTTACAATGTTCATACCCTACGTGAGGAGCAGTCAGAAATTATAGTTATCGTAATGAGTAACGTCGTTCATGACAGCTAACCTTCAAGACTCGACCGAACACAACGTGTTTTCCGTTGAGATGAGGCGTCGGGACGGTCGTGATGAAGAACTGGCTGAAAATTGTTTGAGGAATCCAGTTTTCGCAAATGCAGGAAGACAAATCTTTACCTTCCGTTCGTGTTGGGACCAGCATTTGCCATACTCAACAAGCCAGGTTTATCATGGACGTATTCGAATTTCTCATCTTCAAATTTCTCCCCATAAATGCTCTCTCCTCCGGTTCCATCACCCTTTCCAGGAGGTAGAAGATCAATCAAAGCTGCAAAGTACATAGCATTAAGCACACTTACCCTTGTAAAGTCGCCACCTTGAATCATAAACCCTTTTATCACGCGATGGAAGGTGCTTCCTTTATACGTCAATGGCACTCCTCTCGACTTGGATGTCACCTCTCCGGTGCAGAGGGCACGAAAGTTCTCGGCTGTCTTAGGAACCACATCGTTATAAAGCTCAAACACGATGCGGCCCGCCGGCTCGTCTCCAATTGTTATGTCAAAGAACGTGCGGGGGCTACAAATGACAGTGAGTGGCTAATGCCTGGTTTGCTTTAAAGCATCAACTTCCATAGCGGTACGTACTGTGACATTCTAGCTGGCAGAACACTTGAAGTTCAGGTTGGGAGAAGGCTAGTTAAATGACAGATCCCCATCTTGAGTTGACGATCTCGTCCAGATCCTTCTCGTGGTTTCCATAGCAACAAGGAAACTCGTAGAATATTGGTAAACACGACCATTGCCGTTCGACAGCGTAGTAGTAAATTAGTTTGCCGGCCGTATTGTAAGAATAGTATTCGGCTTTGTGCAAGCCTCATATTCTACACTGTGCCGTCCAACAACGGCTGTCGCTCTGCTAAAACTATGCGTGATATCCTGCTGGTTTCTATTGGCGCAGACCGGCAAACCCCTTACGTAGTGACATTCAGACACTGCTAGTGGTACTGGAGGAGCGCTTGGACCTTATGCATACTCCGCTCGAGATTGCTGGCAAAGTGGCCTCGAAAGAAAGTGGCCTGCAAAACATAGAAATCCAGAAACATTAATGCTAGTTCATTCCCCATATCTTGGTAAACGAGTGTATGGGCATGCGCATGGTCAATGGTCTTTGCATTGGGGAGTTGCGGTAATAGCGTCACCCAAGGGTAGTGTTGGCAACTCGTGTATGTGGGATTTTACGGCAGGAGTGCGAGAAATCACGCGTGATGTCCGACTGATCTGGACAGATAGTGCTGAGTCATGACCACCAGGATCTCCGCCTCGTCTTCTCAAAGGCCAATTACATGCCTATCTCATAACCATGACTGGACAGGAAGCCGCATTGATATTCTCGCCACAATTCCATCCCAACATCAATGAATATACCCTAATTGAGCTACCAAAAGAAGTCTTGGATCACTTGCCAAATAATGAGAATGAGAATTCGGGAAGGTGTGTGATTTTAGTTATTCAGGAGATCTAGGGTCCTAGGAACCTAACTAGGAGCTCCACTATCACCAAGTCTTATAATAAGGGGCCTCGAGACGGACAATGCTGTAGTGTGCACCAAAACAATGACTTATTCCATAAGCAATGTGCAAAGTTCAAATACAATGCTCTTCGCGCGACCTACAGGCGACCATTCACAACCAACCCTCAACACTGGCTATGAAATTCAAGATTCCTTATCATCTTATTGGGAACTGACACCATGTCAGCCGAGGGTGGATCGGTTGCGAACGGTGTTGGAAGATGCGCCATACCGAGGGCCAACTGAGGAGGCCAGAACGCAGGCCCGACGGGTAGGTGAAGAGGCAATGGAAACATTTCTGGTCATTCTCCGATGCTGAGGAGCGAATATTTCTGGAATTATTCATAGAGCAGAGAGAATGAGGAAGTCGAGCTCCATACGACAAAGTCTCTTCAAAACATTATTCAAGCAAGTGATGCTGAACTGTTGCAAGGACTGGAAACTTTAGGGGCTTTGGAGATTGATGGTAAGCCTCTACTCTAATAAATGATACAATATCAAACTTAAAGTAGGGATCATCATCCAGGATTCTGGCGATTGGTCGATCCCGGCTATCAAGAGTCAATCCTCAAATTTTTATTAGTATCAGCTGTGGCGGACGACATACCCTTTGATCGACTGCCTCTGTCGCATTGTGTTTCGATGATGGCAGAAGCGGATGCACCAGATTACATAGTGCGGCATACGTTGATACGCTTTTCGGAGAGCCCAGACGTATCGGGTGACAGAGGTAGATCAACTTATTACACCCACGCAGGAATGATGGGAAATAACTGGAATCATTCCGGCAGACCCAATATTCAAGCTCTCGGAACATAAAATTGGGCGGTTTTTTGGCAAACAGCTGCTGGCCAATGCTGAAGTGAGGTCCCTCCGTTGTTCTCATCTAGCGAAATGTCTAGGTATTCATGCTGGGGTTCTAGACTCGACGGACCAAATTAAGCACATTTCTAAATCGATGGCGAGAAGCTGTCCCTGAACCATTTCATATCGATCTGCCAATGCTGCAAGTGAGTTCTCCGCTGCACAAATAGTCGCATACTCTGATTGCTAAAAGGTGATGTCTTGGACTTCTAGGGTCTTTTTTTATTAGAGGAGGAACCCAATGGGTCCGTCATCCAATATTACCCCAAGGACCTATTGCCCATGCACGAAAAGCCACGATTCGAAGCTCTATTCCAAGTACGCAAACGATGGGCTCATGAAGATATTGTGCCTTACAGTAAGTTGACAATGTTTTGATATCTCTGGCAATTTGTAGCAACCATTATCTGTTGCTAGTTTCGGATTTGGCTCCGACGACCAAGCAGCTAGATGCCATCCTCCTAAAATACGCTAGAATGTTTAAAGTCGGGCAACAAACAATGTATACGTCAAGGTTTACCTACTTCAAAGGGCGATAATGAAACGACAGTCAAAAGAAATAAGAGCATCTTGGCGACAAAAGAAATAGACTCGATATATGCCAGTATATGTACACAATATCCTTGACCTTCCCTCTATATACGAATATCTAATCATAGTGATATGCCATTGTCCCAGATTCCCAACCAACAGTAGTTTAACCTGAAGCACGTCCCAGCGCTCCAGGTCCCATTATCCTTCATGTGTATTGCTATAATTTATGTAGCTGTCCCATTTCTTTCAGGCAGGCACGTGCTTCGGTGTCTCCTAGTCTTGATGCTGCCTTCAAGTGTTTAATTGCATCTACCGCATCCGTGTGCCTCAGCAAAACACCGATATTGTAGTGGGCATCTGTCGGGCACGCAGTTCAGAAACATGTGTTGTTCCAATGAAGAGATCTCCTGGCGCACATACCTCTCTGAATGTCCACATCTGCAGAATTTGTCGCCATCTTGTACCAATGGATTGCACGTCCAATATCCCCTCTCCTTTCACAAATAACGCCCGCATTATATGCCGCAAGTCGCGAGCCACCCTTAGCTGCGGTTACATACGCGGTGAGTTGATCGTCTTCGCGTCGCATACACTCCTGGGCGAGATTGAGAGGATGTCTTTCAACGCATCAATCAAATCGTCCTCAATTTGCAGGGT